CGTTTCGTTAAAATCATAATAACAGCCTGCTTAACGACTTTTATTATTATTATTCATTCGGCTCATCTTAAAATCACAAGAAAGAGAAAACTTGAAAAAAAAAGCCTTCAAATTTTGCTGTTGAAACTCTTTAGTTGTTTACTATTTAATCACCAGAGAGATTAATTATTAAAACAACTTACAGAAACAACCCTATGGTTATGAGCACCAATATTATGGAAACCGCCGACTCCAGAGTTCTGGTAACCCGCATTTCCGACGCCGCTTGCTCCGCTTCCAAATCCTTGGCCACCAAATCCACCGCCGTTGGCATACCCGCCGCCCATACCTCCTAGACCCATACCCACACCGCCAAGGCCTCCGAGACCCAGACCGGTTCCTATGCCACCAAGACCTAGGCCCGTCCCCACCCCACCGAGACCCAAACCGGTACCTATTCCGCCAAGACCTATGCCTCCAATACCAAACGGTTGAGCGTTAAGTGCCACAGTGCATAAGGAAACGAAAAACACCTGAAAAAAGGACAATATTATATAATAAATTTCTGAAAAATTAAGACAATGTTTATAAACGTGATGAGAAAATAAATAAATATTGACTATAGTTCTATACTCACAGTGCACTTCATATTGATTTTCTTTTCGATGCGTATGCCTGAATGAATGTAACTATCAAGAACTTGGCAATATATATTAAAATCTATATTAAAAATCAATTAGCGGGTCGGTTTCGCCCAAGTTCCGGAATGTTTCGTGGAGAATAGAAACGACAGTCATCGCCGTTTCCTTAATCAATTAAGGAGACTCAGACTTTTCCATCGGTGCCTAAGGAAAATTCGCTTCTATGGAACTTATGCAAACGGGAATTAGCAAAATTGTCGCTATGCTATGATCAAAATATGAAATGTGATGTCGTGGGTTGTGTTTTACTTCTAACAATATTGTCAAAGATTGCCAAAAATTTATAGTGAATAATACAGTCACTTTATTTAACGTTTGTCCGTACTGGAAAAGAGATACAACAATTGATACGGAATATATTCTTGTTGAATATACATAAGAATAAAATAGAAGGCAAAACCACGGCATTTGTTACTATTATGATTTCATTTGGTGACGAAAAATACTTTGACGTCACTCCTAAGGTCAATAATGATCCTAAAAATTTCCCCCGTCATGTTCCAACATAAGATAATGTGACGTTTTTTTGTGGCTAATGATACATTAATTACATTACGTTCATTCAAACATAATATATAAGATACGAATTTGTTATTGCAGATCATATTAGAAACGTCTACCGCACGTCAATATCATAATATATTTTTATTTGTTTTAGTATTCCTATTACATATCTCAACAAAAATGAAAGGCGCCGTAAGTTGAAAATTAATAAAATTGAATGGAATTTGAAGTAATCATGCAATTAATTAAAAAATACGATTTTGTTACATGAAATTGATTAATATAATTTGTAAACAACAGAGAAAAGTTTATTTATTACTATAATGTTTATTTTCAGGTATTGATAATCTTCTCCTGCTTCGCTGCACTCAATGCTAAACCGTTTGGTTTAGGTCTAGGTGGTATTGGAGTGGGCGGGTTAGGATTGGGATCGGGTCTAGGAATGGGTGCTGGGTTAGGACTGGGCGGTCTAGGTATGGGCTTAGGCGGTATGAACAGTGGCTTCGCTAACGGTGGTGGATTCGGAGGTCAACAGTATGGTGGTGGGTCAAGCGGAATAGGCAACCAGGGATATCAAAGTTCTGGTGCTGGTGGTTACCATAACATTGGGAGTCACCATAACAGTGTTTCATCGGTAGGTTATAGAATTTTCTAGAAGGTTCTAGAACTAGTACAATGTCTTGTTGTTAACAATTAATTCTTCTTAATTAAATATAGGTTTTTTCTAATTAATGTAGGTAAAATGCTTGTTTTTTAGGTGAATCAAGTGGACAACTCCGAATTCCACAACGTCGGAGGTGGATCAGCAATGGACAACGGTGGTTTTTCTGGCAACGGTTATAACGGATATCAGAACGGAGGTTCTCAATTTGGAAATGGTTTCGGATCCGGCCAAAGCCAAGGGATGATGATTTAACCTTTTTCGTTACCAATAAATTTCATCAAATAATTATTTTGTTTTTAATGCTCCGCTCCACAAAATCTAACCACATAGTTAAATAAAACACTTGAACGGTTTAAAACGCGATATATAGTAGTCAAACTAATTTGAGAATTATTTTTAATTACGGCCCGACGTTTCCGGTGCTTACAGCAGTCACGGGGAGAAGAAACGTCGGGCCGTAGTTAAAAATAAATTTCAAATACTTTTAACATATCGCGTATTAACATGTCGCATTTAAAACCGTTCAAGTGTTTCATTTGCATATTATGTACTTCTCGCGTAAACTGCACGCAGTTTTTAACCACACAGTTACTGAATTAGAGCAATTTATATTTTCTTGACATATTTATCTGCTTACGTCTAAAACATAAGGGATTTATCGATTATGTAGCAAACGTTTTTTGTCTTATTGAATTTACATTTAAATATTTAATATGAACAGTATGAAGAAGAGTTAAGAAAAGGTATTTTATTTTCTATTAAACTAACAAGATTATTTATTTCAAAGATAACATTTGAAGTATCAAGTTTTATTATAATGCAAATATATTGTTCTGACTGTACATTTGGATATTTATTATAAAGAGGATAAAAAAAGATGGAATTTTGATTTTCTATGAAACGAATAATCTAAAATACAATTTTTGCAGTGATAGTATAAAGCTTTTATAATAGTCACTAAAAATGTATCTACATATTTGAGAAGTCCTCTATTAGTCAGGAAATAAACTAAAATGTTAGGTACGCTATTAAAGGCCTAGTCCTACGAATAGTGCTACGTATAGCAAGTCGTAACTACGTTACGAATGAAAAATTGACTCGGTATTTAGACGAATTGGTTGTGTATGTTTTAATAAACTACAATGAAAAATGTTCACTACGCGGGGTAAAACTTATCATTTAACAAAGTCAATAACAAATATTTAAATTTGATATTATTATTATTATTGAACATAATGATGGAAAAATGAATTAATGATACACAAAAACCAAGAATCATATAGTATGCTGACATAAGTATAATAATTAAAATCAAACATTAAATTTTTATTAAGAAAACTTTCTCATCTTAGGGTGTTACCCTCAACGAAATAAAATTATCATTTACAGCAACTCGTATATTGGCTTAGTTGCTCATTGGAATTTTCATACGGAATTCTATAAAAACAACACTTTATAAAAACAGTCTTTATTAAATATTTCTTTTTCACATTATTTACATATAGTTTTAAGGTTGCTAAATAAGATAACTTTGTCTTAGATAATCATTCCTTGCGACCCTGAACCATATCCGTTGCCAAATTGAGAGGCTCCGTTTTGATATCCGTTGAAACCGTTTCCGCCGAATCCGGCTGAACCGCCAGCGGAACCGCCTCCGATGTTGTGGAAGCCAGAATTATCATCTTGATTTATCTGTAAACAATAATCGCAATGTACGCCCGAACGATTCATATATACGGATTTTGCTGGGCAAATATTGATGGTTTCACACAAAACTGCTAGATTACGTTTCGTTAAAATCATAATAACAGCCTGCTTAACGACTTTTCTTATTATTATTCATTCGGCTCATCTTAAAATGACAAGAAAGAGAAAACTTGAAAAAAAAAAGCCTACAAATTTTGCTGTTGAAACTCTTTAGTTGTTTACTATTTAATCACCAGAGAGATTAATTATTAAAATAACTTACAGAAACAACCCTATGGTTATGAGCACCAATGTTATGGAAACCGCCGACTCCAGAGTTCTGGTAACCCGCATTTCCGACGCCGCTTGCTCCGCTTCCAAATTCTTGGCCACCAAATCCACCGCCGTTGGCATACCCGCCGCCCATACCTCCTAGACCCATACCCACACCGCCAAGACCTCCGAGACCCAGACCGGTTCCTATGCCACCAAGACCTAGGCCCGTCCCCACCCCACCGAGACCCAAACCAGTACCTATTCCGCCAAGACCTATGCCACCAATACCAAACGGTTGAGCGTTAAGTGCCACAGTGCATAAGGAAACGAAAAACACCTGAAAACAGGACAATATTATATGATAAATTTCTCAAAAATTAAGAACATGTTTATAAACGCGATGAGAAAATAAATAAATATTGACTATAGTTCTATACTCACAGTGCACTTCATATTGATTTTCTTTTCGATGCGTATGCCTGAATGAATACAACTGTCAAGAACTTGGCAATATATATTAAAATCTATATTAAAAATCAATTAGCGGGTCGGTTTCGCCCAAGTTCCGGAATGTTTCGTGGAGAATAGAAACGACAGTCATCGCCGTTTCCTTAATTAATTAAGGAAACTCAGACTTTTCCACCGGTGCCTAAGGAAAATTTGCTTCTATGCAACTTATGCAAACGGGAATCAGTAATCAGTTGTCGCTATGCTATGATCAAAATATGAAATGTGATGTCGTGGGTTGTGTTTTACTTCTAACAATATTGTCAAAGATTGCCAAAAATTTATAGTGAATAATACAGTCACTTTATTTAACGTTTGTCCGTACTGGAAAAGAGATACAACAATTGATACGGAATATATTCTTGTTGAATATACATAAGAATAAAATAGAAGGCAAAACCACGGCATTTGTTACTATTATGATTTCATTTGGTGACGAAAAATACTTTGACGTCACTCCTTAGGTCATTAATGATCCTAAAAATTTCCCCCGTCATGTTCCAACATAAGATCATATGACGATTTTGTGGCTAATGATACATTAATTACATTACGTTCATTCAAACATAATATATAAGGTACGATTTTGTTATTGCACATCATATCAGAAACGTCTACCGCACGTCAATATCATAATATATATTTATATTGTTTTAGTATTCCTATTACATATCTCAACAAAAATGAAAGGCGCCGTAAGTTAAACATTAATAAAATTTAAAGTAATTTAAAATAATCATCACAGAAATTTATTAGTATAATTTGTAAGCAACAGAGAAAAGTTTATTTATTACTATAATGTTTATTTTCAGGTATTGATAATCTTCTCCTGCTTCGGTGCACTCAATGCTAAACCGTTTGGTTTAGGTCTAGGTGGTATTGGAGTGGGCGGGTTAGGATTGGGGTCGGGTCTAGGAATGGGTGCTGGGTTAGGACTGGGCGGTCTAGGTATGGGCTTAGGCGGTATGAACAGTGGCTTCGCTAACGGTGGTGGATTCGGAGGTCAACAGTATGGTGGTGGGTCAAGTGGCATAGGCAACCAGGGTTATCAAAGTTCTGGTGCTGGTGGTTACCATAACATTGGGAGTCACCATAACAGTGTTTCATCGGTAGGTTCTAAAATTTTCTAGAAAGTTCTAGAACTAGTACAATGTCTTGTTGTTAACAATTAATTCTTCTTAATTAAATATAGGTTATTTCTAATTAATGTTTTTACCTACTTGTTTTTTAGGTGAATCAAGTGGACAACTCCGAATTCCACAACGTCGGTGGTGGATCAGCAATGGACAACGGTGGTTATTCTGGCAACGGTTATAACGGTTATCAGAACGGAGGTTCTCAATTTGGAAATGGTTTCGGATCCGGCCAAAGCCAAGGGATGATGATTTAACTTTTTTCTTTACCAATAAATTTCATGAAACAATTATTTTGGTTTTTAATGCTCCGCTCCAAAAAATCTAACCACATAGTTAAATAAAATACTTTAACGGTTTAAAACGCGATATATAGTTGTCAAACTAATTTGAGAATTATTTTTAATTACGACCCGACGTTTCCGGTGCTTACAGCAGTCACGGGGAGAAGAAACGTTGTCGTACATTGCGATTATTATTTACAGATAAATATCTGTAAACAATAATCGCAATGTACGCCCGAACGATTCATATACACCGATTTCGCTTGACAAATATTGATGGTTTCACACAAAACTGCTAGATTACGTTTCGTTAAAATCATAATAACAGCCTGCGTAACGACTTTTCTTATTATTATCAATTCGGCTCATCTTAATATCACAAAAAAGAGAAAACTTGGAAAAAAATCCTACAAAATTTGCAAATAAATTTTGCTGTTGAAACTCTTTAGTTGTTTACTATTTAATCACTAGAGAGATTAATGTTTATCTTAAAAAATGGCCATATAAAGTCACGGACATCTCTTTAGATCATTGTCATTTTTTTATACATATTATTTTGGTTATCTTGAATTGCTTTAGCAGCGCACGTATCGGAGACCCACAGCGATTAATAATTGCCCTCGTTTTTCCACATTTCCCGCTGTTTCTTCGCTTCATTTAGTCACACTGCAATGTTTTATAGCCTTTTTCGACAAATGCTCTAACCAACACAAAAAACATCAATTCGAACCAGTAGTTCCTGAGAATAGCGCGTTCAAGAATACAAACAAACTCTTCCTCTTTATATATTAGTATAGATTTTTTAGTACAGTTTTAAGTTAACTATTATTTTTTTAAGTGTGAAAATAAATATAGTTAAAAGTCTTAATCAAGACGAACAATGTATGTTTTGTTTTGTTTCTTGCATCAAATTAAAAAAAAATCTGCGATCCGAAACGCGATGTTTTATCGCTAAAACATGCATCGTTTAAACATATAACAGTTTAGCGAGATAAAAATATTTCAGTATACAAAAAGTCTAAAATCATTTTTCATTTCGTGAATATCCATTTAAAATGTTCATGACCCCGAAAATTCGCAGTCGAAAAGGGATATAAATCTGAAGTTTTGTTGATTGCTTTGAAGTTTGTTTAACGGATATTGAAAAATAAAACTTAGAAAAAGCATTAAATCTTTTGAGACATGAAAACTTTATTCACGTGTGCAGAATGATGGCATTATAAAAACAAAAATCTAATTTGATATAAAAACATTATTGAGCATAAGTGTATCGAAATGTTGATCATTTTATTAGGGACGGGCGAGACATGGTCGCTCCATTCGTTAGGGCAACAGTTTGGATCGCTGTTGATGGCGGTTTAAGTCCCGCGCGTGAGTATGCCTGTATCAATAGGTTGAAGCAAGTCGGTAAGGACGGAAAAGAAAATGTAGCTTAATATTATTGATTAAAACAGCAGAACACATGCTGTTGATGTCGATTCAAGTCCCGCCCGTGGCGTTGTTTTAAATCTTAAATATTTTTTTTTTATATTGCCTGAGTCTGTAACAATACATTACATAATTTCTCGTTTATCCCGCATGAAGGGACATTTAGTAAGGACAAAAATAGACTAAATTTATTCTAGTTTTATTAGTAGTGGTTTCGTCGATTATATGAAAATAAGTAAAAAATTTCAAATACCAAGTCTGAAAGCTTGTGTTCTTATTTTATACTTATGTCAACTGCTTAAATCGATAAAATAATGCAATTCACATTCTCTTCTTCTTAACTAAAATTTATTTTACTTTAGTACGAGCATTTATTTCCGTAAATATAAAAGCTATGAATAATATATACATATAATACAAAATAACTAAAACAATTATATCATAACTCCTTGACTGCCAGCCCCGAAACCATTCCCGAATTGCGAAGCGCCATTTTGATAACCGTTGTATCCATTTCCTTCAAAGCCACCGTTGTTCATTGCTGATCCACCACCGACGTTGTGGAAACCAGAGTCTTCGGCTTGGTTAATCTGAACACAAAAGTCAAAAATTATTAGTACATTTGGTTAAATCTAATGGTAGGTAGTATTGTATACATTGCAAGTTACTTTAATTCAATATCTACTAAGATTTAGAATATTCAATAGCTTTTTCGAGAGCGATATAGTGAATATCAAAAGCCAAAATAGGTCAACACAGCGTGCTTGTCTCACCTCCTCTTTGGTAAAGCAATGAAACATTGCGATCAAAATGAGGTTAATAGCCGCATCGTCTAAATCAATTTATTAACAAATAAATTAATCAATCACAATAAAATAAGAATGTAGTTGTATATTAACGAAAACATCTAATTCAGCTCTAGTAAAAAACGGAATGGATACTCACAGAAGTAACCCTATTATTGTGACTTCCAATATTGTGATATCCGCCGACTCCTGAATTTTGGTAACCTGCGTTACCAACTCCGCTGGCACCGCTACCAAACTCTTGGCCACCATAGCCTCCACCGTTAGCGTAGTTTCCCATTCCTCCAACGCCCAAACCACCTAGTCCCAATCCCCCCATTCCTATACCGCCTACACCTAAGCCTCCAAGGCCAATACCGTTGCCTACGCCCAAACCTCCAAGGCCAATACCGTTGCCCACACCCAAGCCCATACCGAGTCCTCCCATGCCCAGTCTTCCAAGACCAAGGCCAAATGGCTGAGCGTTTAGTGCTGAGGCACAGGTTAATACGATAAGAACCTGTAAAATAATAAGGTATAAATTAAATAAAGAAACATTAAGTAAATTAACAAAATAAAAAGTATAGAAACAGTACTCACGAAGCACTTCATTGTGTTCAACTGTCAATAGCGACTTCTCGACTGATACATTAACTTTCGATCCAACTGCTTTAATACAAAACTGAAGACATTATCTAATTGCTACTAGTGATCAAATACCGATTAATGAATTAAAAAACCCAAATATTGTAAATGAATTGTCATTTGAATATACTAGACTTAATTATCTCAGGGAATTCTTCTTGACTGGTCATAATTATTTTCTAATGGAATATTTTATGAAATTGTATTATTGATAATTTTTAATATGGTCGGGTAAATAAATAATCGAGTAGATTTAATTCAATTATATTTTTAAAGATAGTGATAATCGTTGTTAATAATAACCAATCTTCCGAATTTTCTATACTTGTTAGATGGAATGTTTTCATAATCTTGATATTAAAACACTGTGTTGTTAAAATCAAAAATCATTCTATTGTGTTTTGGTGTCAATCTGTGGATTGCCAAATAGCGAAAGTCAAAATAGGTTGACCTTTTATTGGATTGTATTGAGCTGGCATAAATAACTTTCCATTATAAAAAAAAGTTCTCCTCTGTTGTAATAAGAAAGTCAAAGCACAGTGTTACTTACGTATCTTTCTTAGCTTTTATTCCTAAAACAAATTGAAGTTTTCTAAACACAAAACCATCTTATAAGAAAGAACGTACTGGTTTATATATACATACATTCAAAGACGACCTTCAGTACTCTGAAAAATTTAGTTTTACTTAATAAAAAACATATTAAATTAAGAAAAACTAAAATTTTCAGAATAATAAGTTTCTGAAGTAAATTATAGAGATTCAAAATTAAATTCGTTTCAAATTCCTACTTATTACTCTATATTTTATTTTATAAATCAGTGCTACCAAATAAAATGTTGAAATAAAAATAACTGCATTGTAAGTTTTTCACAAATATTTATTTAAAAAGGATAACTACCATCATGGATGTAACTTATCTTTCACTTAATTTGCATTAAGGGATATTTTCTTTACAGAGAAAGTTATAGTCGACAAAAGGTATCTGGAAAAGGTTAAAACATCACGCAGTTCAATTTGTATGTCTTATAAAATATAATTGTTATGTTTTAACTCACATTTTGACATAAATAGTTTATATATAAAAATGCTACATCCAATTTGGAAATAACTTAATCATTATTTCTTCAGTCTGGTCTGTTGATCTTTTGTTTGAATTGTTTAAAAAAGAGGAACAAAACGTCTTGTTTGTTTGTTTTATAATATTAAGAATTTGAATTGTGCAGTCTTTTTAAAATAATTATTGTTTATTTTTTAGTTGACAACGCTTTAAAATCAGTATAATGATGAGAAAAGAAAAGAATTTGAAGAGAGACTTTCGTACTAAAACTTGAAGTTTATAAATATAGTTAAATCTAAGGTTTTATATTACAATCTTTATTAGTATTTATTTTTAATAGTTTAGCAAAAATAAGTACAACCATGAACAAATCTTCCTTTGTCATTTCCTATTAAAGCAAATAAATAGTTAACCGGTTTAAAACGCGATATATTAGTTAAACTTATTTCAAAATGTTTTTTAACTTCGGCCCGATGTTTAGGAATGCTTTGCAGCGACGGTGGTCACGGGGAGACAGTATTTAGTGTTTTCAAGGAATAAAATAGATAACCTTTTTGTAACGATTTTAATTATAAATAACAAACTATATTTACAACGACAATAACTGAATATACAACTACGATTTTTATATCATAACTTCTTGTCCACCAGCCCCGTAACCGTTTCCGAATTGCGAAGCGCCATTTTGATAACCGTTAAATCCGTTTCCTTCAAAACCGCCGTTGTTGATTGCTGATCCACCACCGATGTTGTGGAAACCAGAGTCCTCAGCTTGGTTCACCTATGGAGAAAGCGCAATCATAATGTAAAATTTGTTAAATTTAAATCCAGTAAATTTAAGTTAATAAGGACGATAAACATAATAAATAAACTTACCGACATAACCCTGTTATTATGAGCTCCGACGTTGTGGTAACCACCCATTCCTGAATTTTGGTAACCCGCGTTACCTACTCCGCTGGCACCGCTACCAAACTCATGGCCACCATAGCCTCCGCCATTGGCGTAGCTTCCCATTCCTCCCACGCCCAAACCACCAAGTCCCAATCTCCCCATTCCCAATCCGCCTACGCCCAAGCCTCCAAGGCCAATACCGTTGCCCACACCCAAGCCCATGCCGATTCCTCCCATGCCCATTCTTCCAAGACCAAAGCCAAATGGCTGAGCGTTGAGTGCAGCAGCGCAGAATAAAACAATGAGGACCTGTAAAAGTATTTACAAAATCAAATATTGTCTTTATAATGAATATTAATTGATATGCCTATTTGAGATTGAAAGTCTGAGATATTTACACTAAAAAAATATACTCACAATGCACTTCATGTTGTTGGGTAGAAGTTGATTTTTTGAATGATAAAATGACGACGTATCATAGTATTTTATACAAAATTTCAAGAGATGTTACCTAATGGATTTGTATAGACGTGCTCAATGATTAAACTAATTAAGAAAATTCGCAGGAGACCCGCGTTAAGTGACAATGTCATTTATTAGCAAAATCCCATTAATTACTTAAGTAATACAACGTGGGTATTTTGATAATGCTTATGATGATTTTAAATTGGATCAATTAGATTTGTTTGTCAACTCTTAACAAATTCAATAAAAAAGTTTTAAAAAATTCCATCTATGAATTTTAATTACTTGTTTTTTTTTTGTTTTTTCTCTAACTTACCTTTATCAGTTTAGTTTTAATCTTACTTAAAATGTTTTTGTTTTTATATTTATTTAATATATCAAGTTAAAGTTGTGGATACCTTTAAGTTAGATACATAAGTAGTAATAATTATTATTAGAAATAGATCTTGTAAGTTTAATTATATAAATAGATAAATAAATGATGATCTTTACTAAACATTTTAACTCTGAAGAGTTTGTTGATTTGTTTGTTAAAAGCGCTAATCTCAGGAACTGTGTTAGATTGGCAATACTTGTTTATAACATAATGCTGCAACCAATAGAAGCAAAGAAACGGTGAGAAATGCCAAATAAACGGTGGAAAATTGTTAATCTTTGATGGCTGATTGACCATAGCATGAGCAGCGAAAACTGTTCAAGAAAACAATACATATTTCTCTTTAAATAATATATAAAAAATGTCCGTGACACTAAACGTCCATCTTTAAAGATTACTGGCATGTTCTTTTAGAACTAAAATATATTATCAGAAATTGATGCGGCCTAAGACGTCGTGATAATTAATGGAAATAGAGGTTGTTCGAAAATATCATGCCCACAATAACTATTCCACACGGACGCATTTGCGAGCACAGCTTGTATTACCTATAAAAGCGACATAAAAATGCTGTCATGTCAACATTAGACATACATTGAGACCTTCAATGCATACGAATAAATATTTAAATATGCTATTTCCTTCAATTATAAAATGCCTGTTTGATAAAGTATTCATTTAAATGACGATATATATATATATATCCAAACTTTTTATTGCCCTTTTAACACAGTTACAGTAAACTACTACTAAAATTCGAAAATCAATAATATAAAAATAAGAAATGGCGATCTGTACCAGTTTCAACTGTGCTGCTAAATGGTTGTTTCTCACAGCGATGGTTTTTAGACTGGCCCGCGTATAGTAGAAGAACAATTAAGTTTATTAGATGAATTTATATATCAACTCTAATATTGATAGTAAAACCACAACATACACACACATAATTAAACTCTTGTTAAAATTTAGATAGCCAAACTATCATCGAGATATAGTATGTGTGTTTAAGTGTATTAAGTTCATTAAATATTTTTAAAGTCAATAAATACGTTTTAAACGTAAAGAAACCTGTACCTACTTGTATCATCTGAATATTAATTACATCAGCATTTATGTACCCTTCCCAAAGCCTTGTTTGTGGTATGTACCTATACATACCAAATACCTAGCGCGGATTAATCAATTTAATTGCATCAGCTTTGTAGTTGTTGCTCTTTCCTCATTTGTTATATTGTATTATAATAATTAGATTCATATTGAATATGGTTAACATACCACTCTTTCTCAGTACCCCTATGTTTATTCTGATTAATTATTATGCTGATTAATTCTATGTTGCTTTTCTATCCACATTATAACATGGTAGCCCCGCTTTAAACTTTTATAAAGTTTATTATACAATCTAAAGCAGAGAAATTTAATTTAAGAAAATTTTGCCATTAACCTAATTATTGGCCAAAATTACAACTAAATATTTAATTTTGTCTAAATTTTTTATTGCCATTTAATATTTGTACTCGAAACAGAAAACGCATCCAAAATTTTTTAGACTTCATAACTAATATGGTATATAAAAAGAAATCTTATATTTTGGGTATATTTCCTATATACTGAATGTATTTTTTTTCTATTTAATAATAGAAGGGAGTAAAAAATATACATGTATTATAAATAACAATCTATATTTACAAGCTTAATACTACAATACTGTAACTTAATATATTTATTATTATTATATCATAATTCCTTGTCTGCCAGCCCCGAAACCGTTGCCGAATTGAGACGCGCCATTTTGATAACCGTTGTATCCGTTTCCTTCAAAGCCGCCGTTATTCATTGCTGATCCACCACCGATGTTGTGGAAACCAGAGTCCTCAGCTTGGTTGACCTGTGGAGGAAGAGCATAATTAGAAATTATATTGCTAGATTTGTTCAATTTTAATCAACTAAATTTAAGTCAGTAAAGATCAACGAAATAGTAAATAAACTCACCGACATAACCCTGTTATTATGAGCTCCGACATTGTGGTAACCACCCATTCCAGAATTTTGGTAACCTGCGTTACCTACTCCGCTGGCACCGCTACCGAACTCTTGGCCACCGTAGCCTCCGCCGTTGGCGTAGCTTCCCATTCCTCCCACGCCCAAACCGCCTAGTCCCAATCTCCCCATTCCTAATCCGCCTACGCCCAAGCCTCCAAGGCCAATACCGTTGCCTACGCCCAAGCCTTCAAGGCCAATACCGTTGCCCACACCCAAGCCCATACCGAGTCCTCCCATGCCCAATCTCCCAAGACCAAGGCCGAATGGCTGAGCGTTTAGTGCTGCAGCGCAGGATAAAACAACGAGGACCTGCAAAATGTTAGATGTTTTTGATTGAATTACTAAAAACATGTTTGTGTTTTCTACGACATTACATTAAAAGTATAAATAGAAGATAGATACTTAGCAAAATAATTAACGTATTGAAATAATATAAGCAAAACTTATAAAAAAATAACAAATACTCACAATGCACTTCATGTTGTTATTAGTTGTAACACAATTTCTTGAATGATAATTTGACCAGCTATCATAGACTTTTATACAAGACTTAAACATTGTCTAATTACCTCGCATGATATAAATGACAAATCAATTAACGGAATTCGCGGAGACAGTCCGTCATTAATTAATGACGTAAAACCCTACTGAATAACATTAGAGTAACATCACGGAGTTTAGGTTTCGAATCTTTAGTCAAATAAAATGGTACTTCTGGTATTTGGTAGTTTTCTATAAGAAAATATGTAGTAGGTACCTTGGAGTGTGGTAGTAGGAGGTATTACTTTGCTTGGGACAGTCTTCTTTAATACAAAGTATTACTAAATTACTTATTAACATTAAAAATTGCATAGATGGCCTTATTTGATTTGTATAAGAATATGTTTCTGGTTAACATTTAGTTTCATTTTATAAGATGAGTATCGAACTTAACAATTATATATCATAGATAATCAGTAAAGAAACAGACGATTTATTTGTTATTTCGGAGCACTTACAGAGCTTATAAAGACATAATTTGTAGAAACACACTCAATTTATGTTACTTTTTAAACTTGAATCTTCATAATTTAATAAGCAAATGCACGCGGTAGCCCAAATATTATTAAGAAGAATCTGGGATTGGGTTCTTTTAATTAAACAGTTTCTTCTATTTCAAGAAAAGGTTATTCAAAACTGATTACATGTAACTTTATAGTTTTTTATAATATATTTAAAACGTTTGTTTGTTGTCTTTACTGAAAAGCGCTAATCTCAGGAACTATGTTGGATTGGATGGATCATTTATCGAGGAAGGCTTTAAGCATCACTCATATATAATATAACGCTGCGACCATAGAACCAAAGAAACAGAAAAGTAAAAGTAACGGGAAAAATTATTTATCTTTGGGGCCTCCGTAGCGTGACCTGCGAAAACGATTTAAGAAACCACGAAGAATTTGTATAAAATAATGATTTCTTTACTCAACATTAGACTTACATTGCGACACTTAATGCATACGAATGCCCATTTGCAAAAGTATGTTTTTAAATGACTACATTCAAATTTAAAACTTTTTATTGCCCCTTTAACAGAATTACAGTTTACTTATCTATACTAATATATAAATAAAGCAGAGGAGTTAATCTCGCGCTAATCTCAGTAACTACTAATTCAATTTTAAAAGTTTTGTGTTGCTTAGAACATTTATCGAGGAAGGGTATGGCTATAAAACATAGCGCTGCGACTAACAGAAGCAAAGTAACCGCGGCAAATGTAGAAAAAAACGGAGAAAACTATTCATTTTTTAGAGTTTCCGATGTGTACGCTGCGAAAACGGTTCAAGATACTCAAAGACTATGTATAAAATAATTATTTCTCTTTATATGATCTAAAAATATGACTGCGACACTATAAGTCTATCTTTTAACGTTAACTTGCAAGAACAACGGACGTGACCGACAAGTTTTGCAAAAACAAATTTGAATGCCCAAAATAACTTTTCTTCGCGGACGAAGTTTCTGACACAGGCAGTAACTACTTACTTGCTTTAATTAGTAAAACAACAATACATATATAAACAATAGATAGGAAATGGCAACCGGTACCAGTCTCAGAGCTGGTTCTTAGACTAACCGGGTAAAGTTGAAGAAAAGTGAAGTTTATAAGATGGACTTATTTATTTAAGTCTAAGATTGATAATAAAACCATAACAAACACATTATCATACTCTAATGTTTAAAAAATGTAGTATGCTATCCACACTTTGTAATCAACTGATTTTATGTGTGTTAAAGTATGTTATAAATTTGATGAAAATTTATTTATAGTCAATAAATCTGTTTGAAACGTCAAGAGAACTTATTTGAATAATGATTACATTAGCGTTTTGAACCCATCCCAAAGCCTTTTTTGTGGTTAAAAATAAAATCTTAATATAATTGCATTATGATTTGTACTTGTTCCCAATCTTGTCATTAACATAATTGTTGGACAAAATTACAACTTAATATTTACATACATTGCAACTTAATGATTGTCTTAAGAATTATTACAATAATAAGCGACTAAACTCTTTTAAAAAATATATAACACACATAAATTCAGAGCTAATTTTATTCTATATCTATTTATTGCCATTTAACATTTGTACACCTAACAGAAAACTTTTTAGACTTGATTACTAATATAGTTAAATAAATTAAAGAAAACCTTATAATTTTTGCGTTATATTTCCTATGTATAAATACTGAATGTGTTTTTTTTTTATTTAACTAATAAAAGGTTATAGGTAGTAAAAAATATACATCTATAATAAATAACAATCTATATTTACAAGCTTAATACTACACAACTTCAACTTAATATCTTATTTGTTATTATTATATCATAATTCCTTGTCTGCCAGCCCCGAAACCGTTGCCGAATTGCGAAGCGCCATTTTGATACCCGTTGTATCCGTTTCCTTCAAAGCCGCCGTTATTCATTGTTGATCCACCACCGATGTTGTGGAAACCAGAGTCCTCAGCTTGATTGACCTGTGGAGGAAGAGCATAATTAGAAATTATATTGCTCGATTTGTTCAATTTTCATCAACTAAATTTAAGTAAGTAAAAGATCAACGAAATAGTAAATAAACTCACCGACATAACCCTGTTATTATGAGCTCCGACATTGTGGTAACCACCCATTCCTGAATTTTGGTAACCTGCGTTACCTACGCCACTGGCACCGCTACCGAACTCTTGGCCACCATAGCCTTCGCCGTTGGCGTAGCTTCCCATTCCTCCCACGCCCAAACCGCCTAGTCCCAATCTCCCCATTCCTAATCCACCTACGCCCAAGCCTCCAAGGCCAATACCGTTGCCTACGCCCAAGCCTTCAAGGCCAATACCGTTGCCCACACCCAAGCCCATACCGAGTCCTCCCATGCCCAATCTCCCAAGACCAAGACCGAATGGCTGAGCGTTTAGTGCTGCAGCGCAGGATAAAACAACGAGGACCTGCAAAATGGCAATGTAAAAAAATCTTAGATGTTTTTGATTGAATTATTAAAAAACATTTTTCTTTTATCTACGACATTACATCAAAAGTATAAATAGAAGATAAAAACTTAGCAAAATATTTAGCGTTTTGAAATAATATAAACAAAACTTATAAAAAAATACCCTTCAAAACTTCAAATACTCACAATGCACTTCATATTGTTATTAGATGTAACACAATTTCTTGAATGATTAATTTGACCAGCTATCATATACTTTTATACAAGACTTAAACATCGTCAAATTACCTCGTAATATATAAATGACAAATCAATTAACGAAATTCGCGGAGACAGTCCGTCATTAATTAATGATGTAAAAACCCTACTGAATACCCGAAGTCTAGTTTTCAAATTTTTAGTCAGATAAAATGGTACTTTTGGTATTTGGTACTTTTCTATAGGAAAATATGTGGTAGATACCACCTTAGAGTGTGGTAGTAGGAGGTATCACTTGGCTTGGGACAGTCTTCTTTATTACAAAGTATTACTAAATTACTTACTTACATTATAAAGTGCATAAGAAGGGCATACTTGAATTGTATTTAAATATTTTTCCAAAGACCAAGAACTAGTCTAAAATGTATAAGTAATAAAAATAATATAATTTAACTTAATTTTTTATTTCACAGAGATACTATCCCTCTAATTCAATTTAAAAAAAAGGTTTGGCCGTCCAGGCGTTTATCTTAGCAATCTTAGCTTATGGCTGCAACTTAATCTTGATTTTTATACGTCGAGCCTGATTTAAAGTGTCAGGGGGTGAAATTCGTCACGGGGGGTCGTTTACTGGAAATGTTTTGGCGCCTCGGGGAACGTTTCTCGGAATGAATTCGTTCAAAGTAATAGCTGGTAGCTTTGTTTCCTATGGCAATCCAACTAATTTGCAATTCTCTTTTCTTATATTCCTCAGAGCAATGCTGCGAGCTTTACTATGCTCGCTATTTAATTTTACGCGGCTTAAGCGATTGACTCAAATAAAATATTGCGTTATGAAAGTAAGCCGCGTCTCTCTCGATCTAAAACGGAAACCCGATTCAACTTCTTAGCTTTTTTATCTGTAGACAGACCGTGGTTTCCGAAGGAAATTTCAGTATTCCGAATTAAAAAAAAGAAGATTTTAAAAACACATTGGATGTAGTAGAAATTTAACCCAAATTGGCCAATAATCAATATACACTTGATATATATTCCCTTAGAAGGCCTTAATCTAACACGCTCGCCAAATGATATGGTATATGACACATGTCAATCAATTTCGTTTTACCGATAGAATCCGGGACTTGATCCCATTAATTGCGATAGGTCTTCAGTTTGAATTCCGGGAAAATAGTTGGCAAGCTTGGTTCATTATCTTTTTTATTTTATTTTATTATATCTTATATAAATAGGTATAGATGGTTAGTTTAATATTGTACTTCCGCATTATTTAATAAACATTTCGGAACTTCGGTCAGAGGGAGCGGACTGAAAAACAGCGCTGTGCGATCTCCTTCCTGTAGCATTCAGCTGAGTCTGCATTGCACATGCCACAAAATTTTAGCTTACAAATGTAGTTTAAAATATTTCGCTGTAATTGCAAACTTCGTGACATTCAATATTTTTTTCTTTATAATAAAATTAATACATTAATAATGGTCTTATTTTCGTCGCCTATATAAAGAAATATATGATTTGTCATCTCTTAAATCCTAAATTAATAGTGGACTTAACTATGGCTGTTTTAGACTAATATAGTCTGAAACAGCACACACACGTGTCTGTTTATAAATACACACCCGTCACACAAACTCGCACACACCCGTGTGTTATAAGGTGGTGGTACTATTACGGTCGGAAAATTCAGTTCATTTACCGATATGACCGATATAAATAAATCTTAATTGAGAGTATAATTTTCCTTTTCCCCCATTTGTCTGATTATTGAGTAAAAAACGCGAATCTGGTTTCTAAACCGAATGGAATGGTATCGGATCGCTGATAAAATCTTGACGGCTGTGGCCCAATTTCACTTGAAAAGTAAATCCATTGGAAAACCTCGTTAACTCAAGGATACTTACGAAAATTCGGAGAACATTAGAGAATCATTTTCACTCTTTTCATCAATGCTTCAATACAAGCAAACAAACGCGATTACTGTTTTTTAATAGATATATACGAGTGTGGGGGTTACTTGATGGTTTGTTCCACATTTACGATTGTTTTTTCGCTTCTATCGGTATCAGTGTTATGTTTTATAGCCTAGAGCCGTCTATAAATTTTCTAAACATCACGAAAATTTTTTTTTTCCAATTCGACCCTATAGTTCCTAAAATTAGCGCGTACAAATAAACAAACAGACAAACTCTTCAGCTTTATTATATTAGTATACCTACATTAAAAAGTATTCAAATATAGAATTGTTCGAGTTCAACATAAATGATACAAGTCCAGTTTCTACCCAAGACTTAAAGGCTTACATTTGTGACTAAAATTCACTTCAAGTAAAATACTTTTCAATCAGTCTGAGAGGGTTTATAACTGTCATCGTAATAAAGGAATAACATATTTCAAGCTTTAAATACACGAGAATTTAATTTATCAGCGAGTTATATCTCCTAAATCAGCGATTTCGTAGTGTAGAATAATTATTTTGGATATAAATTTTTGTTTTTGCAAACCTCCCGTTTAACTCTATAAATTTGAGCTGTTTTCCACGACGTCGTCCGCTTCCCGTCGTTCTTGCATGTTAAACTGAAGATAGACAAAAAAAAACTTTTTTTAGATGATAAAGGAGGAACAACTCTTTCATATTTTGTAGGTATCTTGTCCCGATTTCGCAGCGTACGCAATGGAAACTCACAAGGATGACTATTTTCCCCCGTTTTTTCGACATTTCCCGCTGTTTTTCGCTCCTATTAGTCACAGCGATATATTTTATAGCTTTTCTCAATAAATGTTCTAACACAGAAATAATTTTTCAATTCCAACTAGTAGTTCCTGAGATTAGCACATTCAAACAAACTCTTCACCAACAACGTTAATATAGATAAAAGCCTACAAAATGTGTGAAGCACTTTCAGTAATTCATAAGTGAGTTCGTGAAGAAATATATGTGAGATGTCAAGCGAAGAATGCGACTACATCAAATTGAGTAGCGCCATCTACTCTGCCTTTACCCGTGTCCTATGACCCCAGACCCAGGGGAAATTGTCTGGGACCCCAGTAAAAAAGAAGTGCTCTTGATACTGTCATAAATCGCGACCTGACAGATTGTTTTCAGTAAATAAAGAGATTGAGTGAATCGAGAAAGGTTCTGAGGTATTTTTTTTAGTATTGATAATGTTTAGGCGTTTTATTTATTTATTATAGTTTTAGCAGCGTTAGCCTATGATAAACCGGAAATGAATTATCTCTTAGAAGTCCTGAGTTCGATCTTAGACAAGTGAATAAAACAGGGTTTAAATAACTTTAAATTAACAATGTCTCTTAATTAAAAGACAATTTTTTAATTTTTGCTTTTAGTGATTCTTTTATAAGTATTGTCTGTGTTATACGCAAGTACTATACGTAAAAATACTATACTTTGAACGGTTCAAACGCGAGCAATATTAGTTAACGTAACGAAACGTAGGGCAGTAATTATTATAAAAAAAAAATTATATGTTTCGCATTTTAAACCATCAAAATTGTTTTATTTAGATTCTGTTATATAGAAAAATAAGATAGATCCGGCAATGTAAGTATTTTAAACAAAGAAACTAAACTTAAGCAATTTTTTTACTTTGACGTCAGAGACATCCTCCATCTCTAGTCTCCCCGTGACCACGGCTGCTGCAAAGCACCCGAAACGTCGGGCCGAAGATAAAAATCATTTTCAAATAAGTTTAACTAATATATCGCGTTTTAAACCGATAAAGTGTTTTATTTAAACTTTAATATTTTTCATATAATGGCAGTACGTAATTTAAAAATCTAATTCAATATTTCCAAAAACTTACGACTCAGACAGGCACAGTTCTGATTTTTAATTTATATGTATGAAATTTTCAGCAAGATTATGCGTTCAACGCTTCATTTTAAAGTGTTTTGTGTAAATAAACAGTATTTAATATTAAATTTTACATTTCGTACATAATAAAAAAGTGTGTCTATAAACTGCTGTATATTAATACTTTCAATCAAGTATTCCTCAGTTTTATACTGAAACCCGGCCTGGTTAATTCTAGTTTAAAAAAACCAACAGATTCCTTTTGCGTATTAATTACTATGGAATTAACGAAGATCAATTTTCCACTTCGTATCTATGAATAATCGCGGTCTTTATAATTAATGGCCTAAACGCGAACGAAAGCTTATAAAATGTTGTTCCATTTTCCGAAGGCCCCGTCTCACGATTTTCTCAAAGGCTTTCCCTAAATTTGAGAGTTTACTTAATTCGTATCACCTTCACTTAATCTTTATTCAGAGAGATATTTAAAAGTAATTATGTTGGAGTATTCAAATCCTTTTGATGTATATATATCTATAATCCTTACTAATATTATAAATGCGAAAGTAACTCTGTCTGTTACTCTTCCACGCCAAAACTACAGAACGGATTTTAATGAAATTTGGTATACAGATGTTCTAGACCCTGAGAAAGGACATAGGCTACTTTTCATTGCGAAAAGGGGTTAAAAGGGGGATGAATTTTAACTTCGGCCCGACGTTTAGGACGCTTTGCAGCAGCCGTGGTCACGGGGAGACTGGGGCAGAAGTCAAAAATCATTTTTCAAATAAGTTTAACTAATATATTGCGTTTTAAACCGTTAAAGTGTTTTATTTAAATGTGTACTACTCGCGTAAACTATAGACAGTATATAACATGTTTATTTCTGCCCCTGTTCTACAATTTCTCTTAAATACAAAATAAAATCCTAGACGAAACCTTTCAACCCATTTCTGCTTTCAGTTTGCCTTTGTTGTCAAAAGTTGTTTAAGACTACTAAATAGCTTTAAGCTTCCATTGCAATCCTAAAACTATTTCAGAGACAAAAACTTTTTGTTTCTGAAGAACACATCTCGTTCGTGTTTGAGTTTCTACCTAGTTTGACATAGTTTTAAGTACATACAAACAATATAAGGCCATTGTTTTCTTCGAACAAAAAAATATATAGTTATCAACCTAATTGTGATGAACACGAAGTAGTTAGGGAGAAGTGGTCACTGTTCCTCTAACAATAATATACTTAAATATTGGTATTTAACTATTTTTTCAATTGCAAACAGATAATCTTTGTTTTTAACTAATACGATCCGCTGAGGACACAAAACACATTTTCTCTTAAATAATAGCCTTTTAATAGAATTTCATATTAATAAAAAATGATTCTATTAAAAACTTTGTAGTTTACGTCTATATATATTGCGTTTTAAACCGTTGTAAAGTGGTTTATTTAAATAAAAAGCTTTGTTTAGTACTTTCAAAGATCTAAATATAGGCGGTAGCTTATCACTGTTTTAATAGTTTAACATACAAATTCTACAGGTTCTTCTAAAAGTTCTCGTGATTTCGTCCGTATATGTTTTAAAACAGACATATATGTCGCGCATTTCTTTATTTTTTTTTGATTATTTAAAGAACAATATTCTTTTAGACATATTTTTACCTAAAAACCGTTTTCTGAGCGCACGCAACAAAAACCTTCAAAGATGAATTTAACCCGACCTTTTCATAATACACTCTGTTTTTTCGCTCCTATTGGGCAACTTGATGTTTTAAAAACTCTAATATTTTTCACATGTTATTGCGCATGATGGCACAATATAATTTGAAAATCGCACAGCACGGAACGCTGACGATGCCGATTCAAGTTCGAAATTTTTTTCAATTTATTTGAGATTTTAGCTTAAAGCCTTCATCGACTAATGGTCCAACCAACACAAAGTCCTGAGACTAGAGCGTTCAAATCAACTCCTCAACGTTATATATTATAGATACATTGTATAGAGTAGGGAAAAAACGTTATCCACGAAGAAGGAGCAATTTGAAGATCATATGTCAGTGATGCTACACTTAATGTGTCATCGCGTCTCTCGACAGGTCCATTAGTGGTTTATTATACGAAAGTACCAACTGAGTTACATTATATAATTATACTCTCTAGATTTTGACAGAAAAAGTGATAACATACACTAGAAGTGTTAGCAGTGCTTGATGCATTGTGGGACATATTCACTAGACAATATTAATGTGGACGTGACATCGTCATAGAATAGTAATTTTGGGCATCCAAATTTGTTTGTGAAACCTTCTTCATTCTTTATAAATTTAAGTTTCCCATGCCGTCGGTCGCATCCCGTCGTTCTTGCAAGTTACACTTTAAAGATAGACATATATTGTCGCGGACATTCTATTTGATTATTTAGAGAGGAATCACGTTTTCTTGCCCTTTATTTTATACTGTCCCTTTTCCGCTGTTTCTTTGCTCCTATTAGTAAAAGCCTGAATTAACACAAAAAATATTTTTCAATTCGAACCCGTAGTTCATGGGATTGGCTTATATATTAAAAGTATAGATAATTAAATAGAACACGAACACATTCCTGTGTCCGTTTCACTGATCTGTCTATTTACAGATTCAATCAAACTTCTGTGCCCTGACGAACGAAACAATCTATTGTTTCCCCCGAATTCGAGCCCAAGACCTATCGCGCTTAACGCTTAGGTAGGACGTTTGAGGGCTCCCTCAAAGAGCCGCATCGAGCTGGTGGTGTGTTTAGTGTTCTGCTAGAAGATTGTAAATAAAAAGGAGCACATCTAAGCTTTAAGTTACAGAGTCTAAATAAATAACTTTACGCCATTTCTTTAAAATAAAATAAAGTCGTTATTACAAGCAATTCAAGAATACCAAGTTTACGTGATGAAAAACTTTGTTCAAGTTACAAAGCCTCAACTTCGTAAATCGATTGTAACGCGGCTTAAGTTAAAGCGAAACAAACTGCTAACTAGAGTAATCAAGGAGGTAATTAGATTCGAGATAAAGTATTTTAATTAATTCGATAATAAATTGGTACTTAAATTAAAAGCTAAGCTTGATCTTGTCTTGCCCAACATAATCTGAAAACGATATGTTGTTATGAACTAAATAGATGAAAAAAAATCATCATTGAAACATGATTGTACAATATAAATTAAAAATCTTTTTAGAAAAACAGACAGACAGCGCAAGGTCTATTTATGACGTGTTCGACATGGTAGGTCAATTGGTAAGAGACATTTGATCTCTCCGACGTCTTAAGAAGTGAGGTAAGTTTTTAGCGTCCTAAATATTGTTTTTTGTTCACCATTACCATAAAAATTTTGTCCTTTATCTGATGTTGATCTAATAACTGCTAATAGTAATTGAAATATCTATCTATGCTGTATACTAATATAAGTATATAAAGCTAAAGAGTTTGTTTGTTTGAACGCGCTAATCTCGGGATCTACTAATTGATTAATTATTTGTTAATTGATTATTATGCGTTTGTTAGAACGTTTATCGAGGAAGGTTGTAAGCTATAAGATATTGCGATGCGACGCGAAGAAACAGCGGGAAAAGTAAAAAAAAACTAGGGAAATTATTAATTCTTGTAGGTTTCCGTTGGGTAAGATACGGAAACGGTTCAAGATACCAAAAAAATATGCATGAAACAATGATTCCTCTTTAAATTACCTAAAAAAATGTCCGCCACACTATATGTCTATCTTTTAAGATTAACGCGCTTTTAAGACGCGACCTAAATTTAGATGCCCAAAATAACTATTCTACGTGGACGAAGTCGCTGACACAGCTAGTTTAATATATGCTAACTGACGCACCTAACTTAACAGTTATTAATTACTAGATCAAACGCTGGAAATTTAGGTGTTTCCACTTTGCAGTGGATCCATTATGCATTGCTTCAATAAATTAACGACCTCTATAGAGAAAGCCTCATTTATTTTAGCCTGTTAATTAAATACTTCCACTGGATTTTCAATTCGAAATTTAAAATAAGGTGGTCATTACGTAATTTGGTATAATGAAACATACGATGATTAACTTAATGTCCCTTTACTAGTAGTTTTATTTAATTAAGTAGTAAAAGTTAAATTTAAATGCGATTAGTTATGGAAAAAAATGATTTGGTCTTTTTCTGGATGAAGATATATCTTTGTAGTTTTACGCGAGTAGTACACATTTAAATAAAACAATTTAACGGTTTAAAACGCGATATATATTAGTTGAATTAATTTGTAAACTATTTTAATTACGGCCCAACGTCTCTGACCAAGGCTGGTGCAAAGCATCCGAAACGTTAAAGGGTTTTATTAATTTGTACCACTCTCGTAAACTACAGACAGTACTTAGTAAAAGTTAAGTTGTTGAATCTTTTTAAGAAAACCATCACATTTCACTAGTTGCTTTAGGGTTCTATTGCAGACTATTATTTAATTTATCATTTAGCATTTTATTAGAAATGAAACAATTAATTCAATTTTAATCCAATTTATTAATGTTTTATAATAACAAATAATTTTAACTTCATAATAATAGAAAAATCATTCAAAAAAGTACCAGAAATAAAAAGCAGTTACGTAACAATTCCTAGTCTTCTAACAGCGCAAACATCACCCCACTCGACCATAGCCCTTTGGTCAAAATTCAAATTCAATTCAAACATGCTAGTTGGTGACATGATCACGAAGCATTCTGTAATACGTAGTAGTATGGTGGTTGAAGTTTATTCACCCCGCTTGTAACCAACTTTGGTTGTGGACCGTGCCATTCCAGCCTGTATTTATCCAGCATTCTGGTGGCAAGTGATGTCAACATGTTACCCACAATACCAGTGGCTGGACAAGATTGTCCGAATGGTAGCGAGGCGAAAGAATGGGCTCTTGAGGCTTTGATTGGAGCCCAACCCTCGTTGCACCAACGTTCAGGTATAAAGGACTTGGCTCTGCCCCACTCTTCTTCTGTTTTGCTGGAAACACCATGTGCCAACACGATGTCGACCTGAAATGAAAGTTATTGAGTTGAAATTAAATATAGATACATCGGATCTCGTAAGAACGAGATCAAGAATGTAGTTAGAAATACGTTTCCAAGTCATGACAGTATGTTTACTAGCATATAAAGCTGAAGAGTTTGTTTGTTTGAACGCACCAATCTCTGGAACTACTGGTGTGACTTGAAAAATTATTTTTTAATTAATTAGAGTGTTAATCGAGGAATGTTAAAGACTATACAAGAGCGAAGAAACTGAGGTAAATGTGGAAAAAAAACGAAGAAATTTATTCATCTCTCTGGGTTACAAATACATATGCTGCGACAACGGTTCAAGATACCCAAAAAATGTGTAGGACAGAATGATTCCTGTTTAATTAATCTAAAAAAATCTGCCTACCTTTTAAGGTAATCTACATGACCAATGGGACGCGACCGACGACATGAGTAATTAAAGTATAGCTTAAATTTATAAATATGAAAGGAGTTTTGCTAAAACAAAATTGGATAAAATAACTATTCTACACTGACGAAGATCGCTGATATATCTAGTAGGTTAGGTAGTTAGGTTAAATAGTACCTTTTTGTAGTCATAGGTAAACCATAAAAATAAATATATTACAAAAGCCATTTTGCATGTCTCCCATAGGGGAGTATAGACACCCCAAGATCAAATTTCATAATTTCACTCACGCCAGCAGGAATTTCGTAACCATCAACAATTAGTTCCTCTTTGCTTCGTCTCACAACACCTCCGGTGACAGGTTTCAGTCTCATAGCTTCTCTGACACAAGCGGTTATATAGGGCAACTCATGCGCATCTATGCCAGCATCTTTTGAGGCTTTAGCCCAAATAACTTCGTCGTGAGCTCGCTGCTGCTGTGCTGGGTGTAGAGATAGCTGGTAGAACATGCTCAATGCAGTTTGGGCTAGCTGTAAAGGAAAATAACGGTAAGTTTATACTAAACGATACAAGACACTTTTAAGGTCTTGGTTCCAGTCCCACATATAGCATGTAGTTTTTTTAATTCTTGTTGCCTCGAGCGGAATAGCTCCGTGATGCGTTACGTAACGCATCAGTTTGTCTTCCCATATGAAGTCACTTAAATATTATGCACTTACTGGATCCACTCCAGCCAGTAAGACATCTGCGGCGATAGGTAGCATTTTGTCCCCCAGTGGTTTTAGTTTATCAAATAGAATTTGTTCTGGTCTCAATTCACCACAATTCATTTGTTTTTGCGCCTTTGCAAGGAACTCTTCTGTAAGACTGAATATGGAAAACAATATTATATTGTACGTAATATCAGTTTATGAATCCTAAGCTCGTATTTTACTATCTGAATCGATCGCTCTCCGAGCTATTTGCTTTGACGCGTACTTCAAAAGTCAGAAAAGTAATATTTTATTTCTATTTTACGAATTTTAAGAAATCTTTACTGTTTTTCTGTCACTGAGTTGATTCTCAGTTGACACTCAAGATTTGCGATACATGCAGAGTTGAAATTTAATTAACTTTCAGTTGAAAATTAATAGGTACCTGAAATGCTTGTCAAATGCCTTTACAGCATCTTTAAATCTTTGAGAGGCTGGTTTCAGTGTGCCTTCACTTCGCAGTAAGTAGTTTTCATCAGCAATCTCCAAGGAGCATCTGACAAGCTGTTCCGCTGGTGTTAGGTCGTCCAAGCTCCTTTGTGACAACGAGCAGAGGTCTTTTATTTCATCATCTAGTGATGTTTTCTCTGGCCGCCTGAAATACAATATATTATATTTTGGTTAAATTTAATGTGTCGTCGACCTTTATTGCATTTAAACTTTGGGCAAGCCATCAACAGGGCTTTTCCATCTGAGGATGGTTGTCGCGGACGGAATTTCGACCCTTTTAATATCTTAATTTTTACAGACATGGTCTAACATATTTTAAATGTTTATTATTAATTATTGTAAACATATCAGAAACATTGAACCAACTGGAGATCGAACAACCCTTTGGAAGTGAAGAGCTTCGGGTAACTTGTCAAAATTATTGGATACGATCGGAATATCTATTTTGTCAACAATTCACTAATTGAATTTAGTTGGCTTTGTCATATTATAATATATATATTTGAAATCAAAAAATTAACTTTGTGCATGATAAGGAAAAAGATAACTAATTTTTATATTTCGCAAACTTAACTGCGATTAGCTTAATGATTTTTTAATACATATAATACGATGTATTAAAAAAATCTCCCCGTGACCGCGGCTGCTGCAAAGCATCCGAAACGTCAGGTCGTAGTTAAAAATATTTTTCCAACAAGTTTAACAAAAATATATCGCGTCTTAAACCGTTAAAGTAATTTCTAATGTGTACTACTCGCGTAATTACAGACAGTATTTACATATAATAAATAGTAGATTATATATCATATGAATAAATATTTCTTTGAGAGTGATTTAAGGCTCTTCTTATAGTCTTTATACAACTAATTAACTTTAGATCATAACCTACGTGATTATTATAACTTAATTATATTATTATAGCAGATGCAACACAGTTCCTACAATAATCAAGGCTAACAATCAAGGTTAAGGCAAATTATTAGATAATTACCTATTCAATGCTTCATTATGTTTCTACGTATTTTTTGTTTTGCTAATAAAATTCGAATATTCCAGAAGACTTCAATGTTCGTTTTGTATAGAAAATTATGTTTTTTTTTTGTTAAAAAGTATTTTTTTTTAATCAGATCAAATAATGGTAGGTAAACATTTCACCCCGAATATGTTCCGAGCCAAATAGCATTTAAACAAGATGCGCTGTCGTCCTATTTTGTTTTTAAATGTTCGGTAATACGCAAACCAAAACATTGTTTGCATCTGTGGACGATGGCTTGTGACCCCGACGGAATTTAGATATTCCTACCACCCATATAACATCTAGATTTCCAAATGAAGTCCAACATACATATTAATGAATACAGAAATGTATATGGGGTGTACAGAAATATTATAAATTTATAAGAAAAATATTGCACTCGTCGGGGATCAACCCACGGCCTGTATAAATGAAATATATAAATAACTAAACGCTGTATTCAAAATTAAACGATATAACGATAATTATATAGTAAAAGTGAATTATGAAAATAATAAATGTCCGAAAAACCCACTTAATTTTATCTTACTAATTATTAATTAGTTTATGATGATAATTATGAACATTGGAAATTTTAACAATTACTCGTATCTCTAAGTGCTTATAATTTGTAATTATTATCTTAATAAAAAAATAAGTAATTTAAATTCAAATAAGAAAGGTATTTATATAAAACACTTTAACGGTTTAAAACGCGATATATTAGTTAAACTTATTTAAAAAAATTTTTAACTTCGGCCCGACGTTTCGGATGCTTTGCAGCAGTCGTGGTCACGGGGAGACTAATATGTCTAATATATCGCGTTTTAAACCGTTAAAGTGTTTTATTTAAATGTGTACTACTCGCGTAAACAATAGACAGTATTTCAGAAAGGTATTAACAGTAGGTAGTAATTAAAGAGATGATTTAGTATACGTATATCATCAATGGAATAAAAACGCAATAGGTACCTTTTTTTTCTAAAACGGTCAAATTTAAATGCGAAGCATTATCTAGAAAATCTCCACGAGTAATATTGAAAATAAAACCCAGACGTACATCTGAAAATCCCTCTAGAGCAATAAAAGCACTTTTTCGCCTTAGATTGTTTTCGTCTGAGTCGTGTGCATATATGTTACTATCGTAAAAGTAGTGATAAGATAAATTGTTCTTATTAATAATCAGTGACAGACGAATATTTTAAAACTAATTACTGCAAATTCATTGTAATAGTCTAGTAGTATTAATGGAGAAAAAATATGGACACCTAATTTAAGAAATCAAGTGTACATTTGTGTTGAAATAATTAAACATTTTTTTCAAACTGGTATAGAAAGATATCAATGTTATTTATTTTATTCGAAATTGAATTATGTTCATTTAACATTTATATGATCGATGAGAATATCCTTAGGTTTGTTCTACAGTGTGGAAGGGTAAAAAGGTAGGTAGAAGAAAGGGTAATGGTTTATAGGATTTTTAGGCATGTCACGAGGATGTACGTTTGTACGACTCCAAAGCTTCCACCAGAGCTTTGGAGTCGTACAAACGTGTTGCCAGGACTCCCTCGAAAGTACGGTAGCGGTCTGGTGGTGTGTGCAGTGGTTCTGGTCGGCTATTGTAGGAGTTTGTAGATTTACCTCGCTCCCCACGTTTCTATTATCCGACGTGGGCGTGCAATAGGCATTCAAGCCATCAGTAAAAAAATAATGTCAGGAGGTACAGTAGAGAAACGATAATTAAAATATGTTAGAATGTAGGTCTTTTAACTTACCTATTATCTTCAGATGGGACGTGAACCGGTCCATCTAAGCATCCCAATCTTAGCCCAAACATCATCATTCCGATCGTCTCCAGCGCCCATCGGTACACCTCGGTATTTATTTCTTCATTCAATGCATTCTGCGTGAGTCGTAACTCGCCAATTCTAGAATATTAAAGATAAACAATTATTATTTTTTATGATGGAGGAGTATATACAAGTATGGGGTACACTTGATGGAAGGTGAAAAAACCCAAACATCTCAAAAAGATGCCCTATCTACCTAATTTGGCTTTGGATATTCGGAAACGTGATTAAACTGAAACTTTGAAGCTTTTCCATCTATAGACGGCGAAGACATATTTTATATACAGGTGTCCAGACGTAGTCCAACATGTTTGAGAAGAATTATAAATTGATTAAAAACATGGGATCAAACCCAAAACCCGTAGATTAATTGTTACCGTCTAGTCTTAAAAAAATATATATTTTTAAAAATATCGAGAGATGCTGGGCTAATCTGCATCAAACATTTAAATTCTTCAGTATTTTTCACATGCCCATGGTGGCATTATATACAAAAATCTGTTTACATTGGAAAGTTAACAATAAATTGTTTAGAGCACGGAACGCTGTGAATGCAGGTTCGAGTCCCGACCATGTCGTGTTTTTTTTTTCCAATCTAAATAGGTTTTAAATTTGCAATAAACATATTTTCTTTTTCTTCTATATTTTCTTATTTATACGAGGTTGGCCCAAAAAGTAGGTAATCAACAACGTACGAGTCTCAGTTAAAAGTATTTGAGCTTACCTCCGCAAAAAGTCACCAGAAATACCATCAAATGCCTTTTCATAATTCTTCTGTAGTGTACCATCCTGCAGTATTATCTGCAATGCGGACCATATTGCCTTAATCTCATCTCTGAAAAACGAAAATATAGTAATCATAAGTACCAAATAAACTATACGGGGGGACGGGGGGGGGGTGGCTTCCGGGGGGGACAGAATTCTGTGCCTTGCTCGACTGAAATTGCTTTATCGAATTACACCTATACTATCTAAGCCATTAATTGTTACAAATGTAAAGTTATTTCGCAGTTTAAAAAAAACGTGTACAACATGCTGTGATCCGACATTGTTGAACATGTGAATGGGATGGTCTGAAATATGGAATTTCCCGGGTGACGTCCACAGCTAAAAGTCATAGGAATCTCGTTAGTGTGTCTTCCTAAATTATAAAAAAGATTTACCTTTGCATAGGACATCCATTACTTTCATATCTCTGGACGTCTAACGGTGACCCGGTCCATACTGGCGGCTCGGTGGCTGTACTATTATAGACCTGTCAGATAAGAATATAAGTAAGAATGATTTAAAAGTAATAACCGTAGTGCATACTTTTGCAATTTTTATTCAATTTAATTTTATATCTATAGTGATGATTATTAGGCTGAAGAGTTTGTTTAAACGCTCTAATTAGCCGTACATCGACTACTATTCGAAGTAATAAAATATCTTTGTGCTGAATAGACCATTTGTCGAGGAAGGCTTTGGGCATCACGCTGCGTCTAATAAGAGCGAAGAAACAGTGGTAAGATACAATAAATTAAATTTACTTTTTTTAATAATTTTTTTTCAATTTATTTCAAAATTCTTTATTTTTAAAACAGTGGTAAATTTGAGAGTATTTATCTTTGCGGGCTACCGTTGCGTGTGCTGCGAAATCTTTCAAAAAATTTACATTAATGAAATGATCTACTAAAGTCCGCGACAGTATGATATGTCCATCTATAAAGATCATCTCTCAAGCCCTGCTTTTATGGAAATTAAATTTGTTCAAAATTAATGCATTATTAACAAATTATTTGTTAGAGTTGTACCAACATAATAATTCTTGCAAGGAAAACTACGGTTTTTAATAAAACAGTTTAACGGTTTAAAACGCGATATATTTTACTTAAACTTGTTAGATTTTTACTGAAACATATTTGCCTGATCAGCTAGTAAACAATAAACTGTTTAAACATCATTTTTGACAATACATATAAATTGTTTGCTGCAGTTCTTAAATTAAACTTTCAGTATGTTACAGTATAGCTCTTAAATTACTGTCAAACGGATAAAAGAGGCTTTTTATAAAAAATCTCGACAGGTTTTAAAAGACAGAGTATAATATAATTCCGTTTAGTTTTAGTAGCAGGAATAGAAATTTAAAAGTCAGTCAAAATAGATTTATCTAGTATTTTATTTTTTATTAATCTAGCCGTCGTAAATCTAACCTATTCCGGCTTTGAATCTTCGAAATCCACAGACTGAAACCAAAACGCGATTAAACTTACGGCTTTGTCATCTGTGGACCGTGATTCGTGACCCGGACGGTATTTCGATATTCCTACGACCCGTTCAATATCCGGATTTCCAGACGAAGTCCAACATATTTTGAGAACAATTATAAATTATTTATAAAAATGTTTAACGCAGTAGGGATCGAACCACGTCCCGTTGGTTATTAGCCATACATTGCTAATACACAAACAGCACCCTCTTACTTCTTATAGTCTTTGACACTAACGAGATTGCAGGATCTCTCACTTAAGAGAGTGTTAATAAATAATACACGTCACGGGAACAATGAAACATAAATCACTGATATAACTACCCTATTAGACCGCGCGTGACCTGCCTCAGATATATCAGGGCTTTTACACCAAAATGTAACACAAAAGCGCAGAATTTAAGAGAATGTGAATAAATTTTAAATCGTGTTTTTGTTAACTGTACCGTGAAAAATATTGCAGTATAAACTATTTGCTAGATAAATCTCTGTCTGTAGTTTACGCGAGTCCACTATTCGGTTCAAAACGCGAAAGATAAACTTATTGACATTTATTTTGACACATGACACTACACGGATCACGGGGGACTGAATATGGTGACATCTTCAGTCCCCCGTGACCACGGTTGCTGCAAAGTATTCGAAACTTAATCCGGGCTGTAGTTAAAAGAGGTACATGAGTTTAACTTATAGCTTTCACGTTTCAAACCGTTAAAAGTGTTTTATTTAAAAACGTTTTTCTGTTTGGTGACTAATCAAACTATGCATATTGTATATGTTTGAAAACTTTAATATTTTTCACATGCACATGATGGCACTGTATAAGTTAAACATCGAAAATAATTTAAAAGAAAATTTCCCGCCCAACAGAACGGAACGGATACCGGTGGGAATCCTGCCCGAGTTGATTTTTTAAAATTCAAATTGTAAACTTTGTAAGTACACGACGTGGACAGTAAAACAGTAAATTAAAGATTCTATACGAGTATATAAAATCTACTAATTGTATTATATACAATGTATGTTTACGGAAGCAGACCACGCCGTGTTTGACAAATAATCTGAAGGTTCGAAACGGTGTCAATGTACCGAGTGTCAACAAACCGAAGACACTTGTGCCAAATTGTGGTTAATAATGGTAATAACACTTAATTATATAGTAATTTGTGTACGTTTATTTATAGGACATCCGAAACAATGACGTGTATTTAAAATACAAGTATTGTATTAAATATTGTCTGTAGTTTACGCGAGTAGTACACATCGAAATCATACACTATGATGGTTAAAAACGATATATATGTTCGTTGAACTTATTTCAAAATTATTTTAACTCAATTCGGCGAGTATCCGGCCAGTATCGCCAAATACCAACTTCGACGGAACAGATAGCGTACTAGTTTTTTACTTTGACGTCAGAGACATCTTCCATCTTTTGTCTCTCCGTAACCACAGTTGCTCCTAAGCGTCCGAAACGTCGAGCCGTAGTTAAAATAATTTTCAAATAGCTTTAACTAATATATATATGGCGCATAAAACCGTTGAGATGTTTTATTTAAAAGTATTGTGTTAAGAATAAAACTCTAAATTTAAAAACAAAGCAATTCGACCGTTCAGACTATGTTTATTGGACGAGAGATTTTAAAATGCAACGCATTGGACAATCCCTCTGTGACATTTCCGAATCATTAAACTTGTTTCTTTGTGTTTAAACTACACATCTATATTAATATACAAAGCTGAAGAGTTTGTTTGTTTGAACAGTCTAATATTAAGAACCAGTACGGTTGGAATTGAAAAATTATTTTTGTGTTGGTTAGATCATTTATCGAGGAAGGCTATAAAGCATCGCGCAGCGACTAATAGAAGTGAATAACCAGCGGGGAACGTGGAAGAAACGGGTTAATTCATCCTCATAAGTTTCTGTTGCATATGCTGCGAAAATTATTTAAGATAGCAACTCAAAAAATGTGCGTGAAAAAATGATTCCTCTTTAAATGATCTGATGATGAAAAAAATATCCGTGATAGTGAGTTGTTCAGGGGGTTGGCAAAAACAATTTTGATGCGAAAAATATTCTACGTGTACGAAGTCGCTGACACAGCTAGTTTTATTATAAAACAAGACAATAATAAAACATGAACTGTACGCGTGGAGAAATAAAAGCTATGATTAGCAATTGTGAGAGCTGATAACTCATTTACCGTTATTTGTAATTTACGACCCAAACATGACCTTTTATTACGTCAATGTGATAAGCTGATTGTCTATCTGGAGTTTATTAATACTGGGATTTATGTTTATAACTTGTGTTTTATTAGGGGGCCTAACACACACATAAATGGGTCACAGATAAATGCTATAGTTTGTGTATAGCGTACCAAATCGCAATATGTATCAGAGTACCTGTATCAGACAGTGATCTGTATAAATAAATAAATAAAATGCTTCCACTGTCAATTAGAGCATTTTCTAAGTAGACCAATCAAGCTGGTTGAGTACTGGTTAACGTGTTGTAACTTCCGCCACTAAATTTAGGATGTTTACATCCTAAATTTACCTGGACCGACGGCTTAACGCACTCTCGTAACAATTGCTATTTAAATAAACTGCTTTAAACGGTTTAAAACGCGATTTTATAAGCTAAACCTATTATGACTACTACATTTCGCGTTTTAAACCGTTAAAAGTGTTTTATTTAAGTGTGTACTGCTCGCGTAAATTACAGAGAGCAGCACTTACTATTTCAAATCCCTAGGATGACACTAGGGCTTAGCTAAGACATTTGCTTAAATAAATTCAAAATACGGATGTAACAATTCGTCAGGGATTCGAAGCCTGGACTCTGTGGTTGAGTGTACTGTTCATCCATAAAAATAACTATAATTATGACGTCATACGCGACATTTATAAGAGGTAACAACCTTAGCCATTACACAGCGCGATGTGAATTAATAAAAGAAACAAAACAATTGATAACGCTGAAAATGTGGTTTTTCATTACATTTCAACTGAATAGGATATTATAAGATTAATCAGCTAAATTGAGTGTTATTCTAATGTTTAAAACACTCTAATCTTAATGAAATTGCCGGATTCAATGCTGAAAACTTTATAACCAACTTGTGAACGTCCATTTTGAAAATGTAATTTTTACCGCTGCCCTAATAAAAGTGGAAATGTTCAATAAAATATCCCGAGAACGGTAACAATTCACAAATGGATCTTGCTTTGTTGAAGATTTCTCGAATGTGTGTTAGTGTTTATTTATTGTTATCACTGGAATCGCTTTTCCATATAAATCTTAATGTGTTATCATTCTTCTCTTTGTTTCAATAAAGTCACAAGAAATACTTTTAACACATAATATTAAGTAGACAACCTTTTGTCTATGCTAATATATAAAGCTCAAGCGTTTGTTTGTTTGTTTAAACGCGCTAATCTCAGAAACTACTGTTTCGAATTAGAAAATTCATTTTGGTTAAATCACTTATCGAGGAAGGCTTTAATCCATTACTATCACGATGCGACTTATAGGGGCGAAGATGAGAAATGTGAAAGAAAGGGGGAAAATTATTCATGGTTTTTATTCTTCATTAATCTGTAATGGTTCAAGATACCCAAAAAATATGTATGATAGATTTATTTTTCTTTAAATGATCTAAAAAAATGTCCACGACAGTATAGTATGTCTATCTTTTAAGGTTACCTCGCAAGACGGGGGGCGTACGACGTCGTGGGTAACTATAATTTATAAAGCTGAAGAGTTTGTTTATAAAAACAAAGCATATGATGCCCAAAATATCATTCTCGGACAAGGTTCGTAAGAGGTAGTATAAAATAAAAATTATAAACAAAGTCACAATCGGCTCTGAACATCATGACCAAACGCGTGTCGTGCTTACTTATTAAATCTAGCTACTGTGTACAACTATTCAAATTTAGACCACTTTTGATTCGAACCTTCGACCTTTCGCGAAACATTATTAAAATAAATTAAAAATCGAAAATTAATAAAAAAAAATTACCTACGACTCGGGCAGGACTTGAACCGGCATCGTCAGCGTTCCGCGCTGTTGCCCTAACCAATTGGGCTACCGAGTCAGAGCTTCAGCACCGAACGCTGACGATGCGGAGTCGTAAAAATTTGTCAATGCATTTTCGATTTTTAATTTATATATAATATCTTAAAGTTTTTAATCTATATAATTCAACTTATTTACCTCTCTCATTAGCTTTGGATCAAAGACATAAAGAACTGGACGTTTACGCGTCGTCTTGCCAAGGCGGACTAAATTGCCGTATTTATCTCTCAAGCTGTCCAGAAGTCCCAGCCCGACGGCGTGGTGATAACATCCTGTGGACACAATTCATTAAGAAAATTGTCGCACAATTTAAAAGAGGTGTAAAAACTCTTCACACGTTTGACCTGTGCATAATAACTACATAACAATCATTTTATTGCTTGTAATTTACGGATGGCATCCTAAACGTCGGCCGACAGTTAAAAATATGTTTTAAAGTTAAATTAATTTCACGTTTTAAACCGTTAAAAGTGTTTTATTTAAACACAAAATTATTTAAAGAAGTACAATTTTTACTAGTTGTGAGACGGCTCAATTGGTTAAAGCACCTAACGCTATGCCTTCCGGGTTCGAGTCGCGCCCGTGTCGTCATTATTATGCAATGTGCCATAGGTGTAGAATATATTTATCATCTGTTACATAAGTCATGTGTGTATTTCACATAAAAACAAGAGATAATCTAATTAAGTTACGTTCTATTAAAATTATGCTAGCAAACTTCAAAGGCAGGACAATAATTTGATTGTAAATTCTATCATAAGGTTGCGCTGTTTGGTTGAAAAAGTCAGTTTTAGTAGCTCTTCAAGAAGTTTAGGTTCGTAGAGTTATTCGAAGTTTAAAATGTTATAAGCCCGTTGTTGTTGTTTATTTAAAGATTATGTTTAAAACGTCTGGTCGTGTAATAGGATACTTTTAACGGTTACAACGCGAAACATATTACTTAAATTATATAGAATTTATTTCAAGTAAGATCTGACATTTGGGATGCTTGGCAGCAGTCGTGGTCACGGGGGACTGACAATAATTAACCTTTGGTAACTTATTAGAAGCATTACATACAAGCAACGGTAAATAATTATTATTGGTTTTCCTTTGTATTAAAAATAGTTTTCCTCTCTATGCATTTATCTAAATTACTGTAAACAAATTAAATGTGCAGTTTTAAACAAACTAGAAAGATCTTTTGTTGCAAAAATCAAGTCTAACAGAAAATTAAAAAATAAATATTTAAATAAAACACTTTAACGGTTTATATCACGATATATATGACTTATTTGAAATCATTTTAACTACGCCCCAACGTTTCGGATGCTTTGCAGCAGCCCTGTTCACAGATAGACAATTTTCAAATAAGTTTAAGTATTATATATCGCGTTTTAAACCGTTAGTGTTTTATTTAAATGTGTACAACTCGCGTAAACTACAGACAGTATTTAAAAAACATTTTTTCTTTGTTATATAAAACTGCACACAGTTCACCTTTTAAATGCTTCAATAAACAGATTTAATTTAATTAAGAAATAATTTTATTAATCATCTTCAAAGGCTACTGACTGTGTTAGTATAGCAATTCTAAGTAAACAATGTTATCGTCTTACAAGCTCCTGCTAAAGATATGACACGTTCTCATGTGTACAAATAGTAAATATTTATATTATCGTAATTAATAATGTAAGAAAATTTCGTTTGATTATATTAAACCTTTTTTAATCGTATTGCTTACGTAAAATGTATTTCAAAGATATGTTGCAATGCTTAAAAGAAATTAGTTAGTAATAATCTTTTGTTTGTTATTTTAATGTACCTATACAGAGCCAGAAAGAGATTCGCGTTGGTTGAGTGTTATTTTCACTCATTCAGTATGTAAGAGTGTGAGTTTAATTCCCGGAGCAGTACCAAAAGTGTTGGATGTTGTGTATGCATCGTGGGAAACATAATATAGAATTAAAAATTTGATGACGACAAATACACGATATTATAAGCTCTTAGGGTATCTGAGTCCCAGCAGTGGGAATTGGCTTACGATAATATTTACTTCTAAGAAAAAAAACATCAGCATCGAAATATTATTTGCCCACGTTTAAAATCTTTGTTGGTTGTAAACCACAGACAATATTAATATGTATTGTCTGTAACTTATGGTCACAGTCAAAATTAACTTACATGAATACTGTCTATAGTTTACGCGAGTAGTACACATTTAAATAAAACACTTTAACGGTTTAAAACGCGATATATTCACGAGGTCACGGGGGACCACAGCTGCTGCAAAGCATCCGAAACGTCGGGCCGAAGTTAAAAATCACTTCCAAATAAGTTTAACTAATATATCGCGTTTTAAACCGTTAAAGTGTTTTATTTAACTTACATGTGTCACGTATTTAACCGTTTAATTCTTTATTTCTATTTAAATATATAATCAATCAATTACGTAAAATAGTGTCGGAAAACAAAAGAAAAATTAAAGGAGATTGTTTATCTAAACAAATGAAAAGCATAAACACCGTATCAAATGTTTATACTTAAACAGTAGTCCTTATGATCTTATCGCTTAAAGCCTTTTCCAAATACATATTTTAAAAAGAACAATGCAGTTATCTAAAATTGACGTGCAGTTATTCTAGATAACAACGGATATAAGTAATCATTGGATTTGGGCATTACATAATTGAACGATACTGTATCATGACCATCTATATCTATACTAATATATAAAGCTGAAGAGTTTGCTTGTTTGAACGCGCTAATCTCAGGAACTACGGGTTCGAATTGAAAAAATATTTTTGTGTTGCTTATAGCAATTATCAAGGAAGGTTATAGGATATAAAACATCGTCCTGTGACTAATACAAGCGAAGATACAGCGTGAAATGTGAAAACATTTCCGAGACTTACGTTGCATAACGGTTCAAGATACCCAAAAATAAATGTATGAGAGAATAATTCCTCTGTAATTGATTTAAAGCGATGCTATATGTCTATGTTTTAAGATTACCTTGCAAGAACGAGGGGAAGGGACGCGACCGACGTCGTAGGTAACAACTTAAGTTTATAAAGATAAACGGGTTTGCAAAAACGAATTTGGATGCCCAAAATAACGATTCTCGCGGACGAAGTCGCTGGCACAGCTAGATGTTTAATATTACTGCGTCCTAACACGCGCTCAAAAGATGATTACCCGCTAGTAGGTGTGTGATGATGAGTCATCAGTTTCAATAATTTAAAGTTATCTTACATTACATATTCACAACTGTGAAATTATTAATGTGAAATTAAAACACTGTAACGGTTTAAAATACCGTGTTTTAAACCGTACCGTAATTATTAATTTTTCTTAAACATTTTGGACTTCTGGAAAATCTGGATATTACGATGCGCTGTCAGCCTATTTTGGCTTTAGATATTGGAAAAGACTGAATCGAAGCGCAAATACTCATGGGTTTTTCATCTGTGGGAGGTCGTTTGTGACTAGGAATTTTGATATTCCCACCACCTATTTAATATACGGATTTCCAGACGACGTCCGAAAATTAAAATCATGTTGTACCCGGTGGGGATCGAACCCACGACTCGTTACATTGCTACTATAAGACAAACGTATAAGTAACATAACATAACGTAAAAGTATCTTCTTGACGATGTTATATAATACTTTTTCTTTAAGTATAATCACAAAAAACATCATCAAACTTTTCGTCAAAAAAGTCCATTACAATACTTGGCGAACATGCAAATGTATTCTACGGCGACGCCTATGTTTAATCTGTGACGAGATTTATAAAACAGTAATTATCTGTGGAAGTTATTATTTTTAGCGGGAAGAGCGCGACTGTTATTTTTATTATGGTGCCTTAATAAAAGTGTGATTTTTAAATGCAAACTACCTTTTTATATTGTACGTGATCAAATAAAATTTGAATTGGAAATCAATTCGGGACGCGCCATCCATGTTTATTCGATTAGCATGTCGTGAACGTAAACAAAGAATTATTAGGTCATGTTGGCGGGAATTGTTTAAATCTTAAATTTGGGTAGACAAAGTTTTACGTAAGACTTGTGAAAAAATATTGCTGTAACGATATTTTTTGTAATCTTAAACTAAACAGATACTCAAACACATACATTAACAGATATTTGCTTGAGTCATGAACGTCCGCGCATCTTAATTAGATGCATAGGTTGGGTTACATCATCTACCATCAAGAGACCCACATGACATGTCTGTCCTCCTCTATTATTAAAAAAAAATACGTAAAAATGACACTTATGTTATCATTGTTGGGAAAACATTTTCAAAAGAGTTTGTTATCTCATTGTGTCTACCGCGGTCCAGTCAATGTTTGTACAGTTAATTAAATTGATGTGAAACCTCCAAAGTACCACGCTTTGATTTTATAATAAACCAAAACATTCACAACAATGAAACCCAAGAAATACAAAAGAGTATTTAGTATAATGACGAAATAATTCTTAGCAAGTTATTCCTGATTCTATCTAATGTGATGTTCAATAAATTAGATAAAAACCAAAGATTTCTAATAGTTTTATTTCTGCCATTACAACTTGTTGTTATTTTATAATATCTATGTATTTGTTTGAACGTTTGTATCTTAGGAACTACTGGTTCGAATTCAAAAAATATTTTTGTGTTAGTTAGAGGGAATCTATCGAGGAACGCTATAACATATCGTCCTGTGACTAATACAAGCAAAGATACACTGAGAAATGTAAAAAAAATTGGAAAATTATTCATCATTAGGGTTTTCGCTCTGTGACAAATAAGAGCGAAGAAACAGCGGGAAATGTGGAAAAAAAACAAATTTGGATGCCACAACTAGTTCTGAATAAAGTGATCGTAGTTTGTTTTCGACTTTTAGGATTTTGCGCGGGAATGTTGGTGTTATTCTTGTTATATACTTATAAGATGTTTTCGTTCATTTTATTTCTAACCTCTCAAATATTTATAATAATAATTAATAGATAAGCATGGGGGATCAATTGATGATAGGTGAAATATCTCATACAACATCTCAACAACATGTTGTCGACATATGATTTGGATTCGGATAACCACAGTCTGAAATGGAATCGCGATTATACGTCACGGCTTTTTTTATCTGTGGACGGTGGTCTTAACCCGGAAGGAATTTCATTATCCCTACCACCCGTTTAGTATTCAGACGAATTTGCTACCACTAGACAAACAGGCCCGTCATATTCATAGTCCAATACATTCCTATAATTTAGTTTATGTGTACTTGAATAGTTCCCTGAACAGAATGGCTTATTAGTAGCAAATAGGCAACTTCCTCCATCCCGTTGAATAGAATCTAACAAGGATGTATTACTAGTTCTATTTGTGATCGTATTTTGATTATTCTTTATTTGATATGAGGCTAGAGGCAGAGTGGCCTAATAACAAACCACGTGTTTGGCAATTAGGGCGAGAATAAAAATTCGCAATTAACTTGGTGAAAATTATGTTGTACTATTTGTGTAAGAATTATGTTCATAATTTTCGGTCACTGTGATTTTGTAGATTAACATTTTTAGACTATGAAAATATAAATACCTTAAGTCATAGAATTGCTGTTAGACTATTCTGCCTCTAGCGGCCTTTAATGACCTTTGATGATTTTTTTTATTATACAGGTAGTTTTAATGAGGAATCGTTTATATAATTACATTCGAGTGAATTTCTTTTTGTAATTTAAAATTAAATAAAAAAAAATCCTCTATTAATCTAAAACTTTTTTAACTTTACAAGGTTAATAGAATTTTGAGGTCAGAATAGTGACTAAAAATTTAGGTAAAAGTAAAAACTATATACTTTAACTTTAAGGTTAAAAACGTGATAAATATGATAAAGTGTTTTATCTCGTAAACTGCAGACAATATTTAACTATAATATATACAAATTTTAGTTTGTCTGTTTGTACCGACTGGTGTGTATAATAACAAAAATAAACACAAATAAATAGAAATAAAAGGAATAACTAAATATCTAATTTACATAAAAAGTTGGTGAAAAGGCGGCCTATTGATAGGAACAATTAAAGAGTAGACTCTTTGATACAATCTATGATAACTTGTAAAAAATATAAGTTGTGGTATCATAAGTATTAAATTCTGAATCCCCTATGTGGGGCTCTACAAGTTGTGTACTGTATTGTAGCTGGTATTAGAAAAACTTTACCTATTCTTGGCAGAACATGTTCATGATGTTTCATCAGCGGCAGAGATAAGGGGCCAGGGATTTCTGCGAAGCGCTTGTAACTGGTAACGACGGCTGGTGCTGCTACATTATGACGCTGGGGCGAGGTCGATGTCGTGTTTGATGATGAAGTGGACACACGGCGCGGCCTGGTCATCCTGTTCAAGAGAATATTTTTATTACAGGTATTATGAAGACATTCTCTACACGTAATTGAGAATAGTCTCTACAATATATGAGGCCGATAGCGGCAGAGTAGCCTAACTGCAATTTTATGACTTTATATTTTTACTGTCTGAAAATATTTACCTAAAAGACCTAGGAAGTGACCGAGCATTGTTAACATAATTCTTACACCATTATGTTAACACAAGTTAATTGCGCATTCTTATTTTTCTCCTAATTGAAAATCATGTTTTTTGTTATTAGGCCACTCTGCCTCTAGTAGCCTCATTTGTAATTCAAAATCATTCCTACAATATACTATGCAATGCAATGTAGCGATGACTACGGTGATATTTGTATATTGAAAGTTTATGTGATAAAATGTACTAAAATGCTTTTCCCTTTTTTATTATTTACAGGGACGTTTAAAAATATGCTTATATGGGTAAATAAATAAAATGTTAGAGTCATGTAACTCCCGACTGTTGTAAATAAAAAGTAGTTGAACGGATTGGTGCCGTAACGCGTTACTCAACGAGGTTGTTAACTCTTCCGGAAAATGATTCCTCAACTTTTTCAAAAGGAACTTGAATCTTAACTTGCTTAATATGGAATTGATTTATATTACTACATTTTTACATCTATAAGATACAACTTCGATAAGTCACTACGCAAGGAGTGGCGAGTTTCTTGCCAGTTCTTCTCGTTCGTTCAACGCCCTTGGTTTGGGCACTGTTAGTAAATGTAAATTTAGAGTCTAGTTTTTAAATGACGTTCACCAGTGTACCTACCTACGTGATTTTTAATTTGTATTTTCCAAAAATACAGCCGCTATAGGATTTGTGGGTAAAATAGTGTTTATGAATTCAGTCTTATTTTATTATGATTGACGTAAGTAAGTAGCCCTCCTGGTATATCATGATTAATGAATTACACCCTTGTGGGTATACGAAGTCAGCGAAACGAAATCATATTAAGTACTTTCTGGGGTTATCGCGAGTTAAATGAAATTATAACGGCTTAAATAAATTAGTTAACTTATTTTTAATTTAATTCAACTAAGACTTGACGTCTCGGATGATTGCAGCAGCCGTGGTCACGGGGGAACTAGAGGAAAATCAAATTATTTTTCAAATAAGTTTCTTTATGAATAACTCATTTTAGTAATAACTAGTGCTGCTTTTGTTCATAGACTATTAATTGTAAGCTTAACTTTATTTATTTGAATGTTTAAACATGTACCTATAACATTTATTACATTTACCTTGTTTTGTATAAACAACTGTATGCTGAAGTAATGTAATAAATATCAGTAAACTGAGGAATAAAAAATTACGTACATAAAGACAAATGTATGAAATTAATCTTTGGACTTTCAATTATTTTTTTAATAGACAATGCATGCGTATTTATAAACATTTTAATATTATTATTATTAAATACGGCATGTTTAGTTAGAGCGTGTTTGATGTCCGTTCTTGGCCAGCCACATTATGAAAAGTGAACATTGCCCTTTATTATTATTGTGCATGCATATAAATACTAGCTTCTATCCTCTTATCGTTTGCACATAATACATAATGTACTTTGAATAAACATTACCATGTAATTATAATATTCATTTGAAGCATTTGCGACTGTATTACGTCCCTACAAAGGTTCAGTTGCAGTATTTGCAGTGTTTAAAATTGCGACGCCACATGCATTGGTCATAGTTCTAGAGCCAATGTTTAAATTTATTGCTATAAGCAAAGGATATGTAAAAATCTTCCACATAGTACAGATATTTTCTTTGTTAAGTATATATTTATATCTTTTAGTCCTAGTATTAAAGAAACTATTTATTATTTGTTTAAGTAATTTAGCACGGATCGCTGTGGATGCTGGTTTAAGTCCCACCGTATTTTTCAAAATAAACGCGCTAATCTCAGGAACTACTAGTTTGAATTGAAAAACTCTTTTTGTGTTGATTAGAATATTTATCGAGGAAGGCTATAGGCTATAAAACATCATGCTGTGAGCATCAGCAGAAAATGAGAAAAAATACGGGGAAAATTATTCATGTTTGTGAGTTTCTAATGCGTACGCTGCGAAAACGGTTCAAGGTATCCAAAATATATCTATAAAAGAATGAATCCTATTTAAATGACCTAAAAAAAGAACTGCGACACTATATTATGTCTATCTTGATTAACTTGCTAAAACGACGGGACGCGAACGATGTCGTGGCTAATGCTATAATTTATAAAGATGAGTAGTTTGGATGGAAATTTGGATGTCCATTCTACGCGAACGGAGTAGCTGACTCAGCTTGTTAGGCAATATTTGTAAGTTTACTTAAGCCGGTCTTCTGTATTCATATACTAGGTGCATAACATGACACAAGAAAAGCAAGCGCCCTTTAAGCAGGCTCTTAGACTATAATATGGAATTCAATACAGAATTCAAGTTCAAGGACAAGGAGAAAAACAACGGTTTACAATTACCCACTGGACCGGTTCGATGTAATCTGTTGCGTCTTATTTTTAATATACAACCGCAGACACAATAGCAAAATACTACTGCGTAAATATAATATTAGCATAAACCATAAATATTTTTCTACTTCATTCCAAACATTTTTAACTGTTTAAAACTTAAAATATTTTAGTTAACCTATTAACAATTTATTCTACTACGACCCGATGTTTCGGCTGCTTTGCAGCAGATCGGTTCACGCTGAGAGTGAAAATGAAGGGTGCCCCTAATGTCAAAATCAAATTTGCTATACTAACGCCATCTCTTTCCTCGTATTCATTTAAAAATTACGCGTTTTAAATAAAATTTGTTGTACTGGCGTGAACTACAGACACTCTATTTTTAGTAACTTCGGGATTAAATTAAGTATTTAACATATTTTAGTATCTTATTAGATACCTTCTTTTCTGTTAAAAACATTGGCACAAAAAAAAATATTGGTCTGAATATAATAAAGAAATGACATGTACTCTGACTTTTAGATAGAGAAAGTAACAGATGATTGACAATTCGCAGAATTTATGAAAGTAATGGCGAGTTATGATCTATGTTGCTTAAAAGTTAAAATAGTTTCATAGATTTCAAGTCAATTTTTCTAAAACAAGACTGTTTTTTTTATCGAGATAATACTTAACTTACCTAAACAAGAATATTAATAAAATTTGCTTGTGAATATGTTTACAGAAAAATCCAATTTATTTGAGGGTATCTATCAAACAAAACTACCTGTGTGGCTTTATAGTTATAGATGTGGGTACCTAATTGTTTATAAAATTAAGAATAGTCTAGTCTTTCCAACTACTTGTCTGCCTATTTATCTATAGAATAATTAAATTTTCGAATACATACCCAGATAACTTGATTACACTTAGATAATTTACAGAACATAAAAATAAAGTCACTACACATAAATAATGCAAAAATAACTTTTCATATTGGAACCCAATTTAATTGTACACAAATAGTACAAACTACAAAAATATTTACAAACACAGCAGGTGAAGTTCGTTGAACTAAAATCTGTGTGAATTGTAAACTTTCTTTATTGTACACTGTGTTAATTAAATGCAGTTGGAAATGGCCGCTAAGGAATTATTATCATTTTATATTTATAGTAATATGACTTTCTTATTTACAAATTAGTTATACGTATTAAGTAAGCTGAAATTACGCAGCAAAATTTTTAATCAGACTATTTACATGTAGAAATTATAAATAAATTCACGCGCTAACAGAATGACGGTAAATAAGAATTTTCTTAAATATTTTTAAATTTACAAACACTTACATGCATTGTCGTATTAAAACAGTTGATTTCGTCATCCTGTATATAACATTAAATCCACTTCACAGTACACAAACGATTAAAATAAAATAAAAATATTTTCACGGTAGCGTTGTGACCCGCGCAAACGACTTACGTGTTATGCGTGTGAGTAGCGTCCATTCTGCTTAAATTAATAGTGATGTATCAGTTATGATAGCGTATCGATAAAATTATTTACAAGTTGAAGCCGTATAAATATTATTAAAATAGTCTTTCAGTTTTGTTTTACAACGGTCGAGGTTAAATTTGACATCATTATAATTTCGCTAATTGGTTTAATCCACTTACAGAATATTCTGGGCTTTAAAGCGATTGGTTTTACAGTAGATAAAATACACCCAATGCTTATTTATTTATATGTTATCAGATATTTAGTAACTTGTGTTATTAATAATATTAGACTATGAGAAAAAAAACACAAGCAGTTTTTTTATTACACACATTTTTAATTAAAATTTAAACGACATTACAATTGTCATTTTAATTTTAATCGTTATTTGACGTATTTCCTGTACGATCATTTGTTCTTTATTTAAACACTAGCTGTTTTTTTTTGCTGCGACTTTTTCCGCGTGGAGTATTACTTTGGTCAACATATTATTTGGGCATTATATTCTTGGATCTGGATTTAATATCGATATAAACAACGCACTCACCACTAGACCTGATCTTTGGACGCTGTCTTTGTTTACGTTTTTTAATTTAATGAATCACCAAGGCTCAAGTATGTAACGGTTTACAATTCGCAATAATTGTCGTATGTAGGAGTTTCGAGTGAAGGAATGCAGTATCTTATTTATTATTGTAGTTGTAACAGGCGGTATTCTTACCGATTTTTTACGATCGGGAGTTGCATTATACAGTTTAAAGTTAAATACTGTCTATAGTTTACGCAAGTATGTTGTTTGCTTTAAGTGTTTTAAACCGTTAAAGTGTTTTATTTAAATATCGCATTTTTATTTAATGTTGAGTTTTATTTTTTCGTCTGTAATACAAATGAAAGGGCAGACCGTCTTCTAACTTTAAGTAAAGGTTTATTTACTTAAATTTAAAAGCTTCTTACCATTCATTGCAGATTATTAATCGATAGTGCCTTGATCAACATAGTCACATCAGGATAAGTAGATACGATTTAAATAATACCTTTTACTTAAATCGAATTGAAGTCTAGACAAAGTTATGAATGACAGTGGTATGTAAAATTTAAGTATGTACATAAATAGTAGTTATATGCATAGAAACCAAGATTTTGCCACAAACAATTCTATTATATGTATGTACGACAAGCATCACATCTCTTCTAGTTTAGTGTTGCTTAACTAGTTATTAATAATAATAATAAAAATCATGTATTTAAAAGTTGCTCACAAAAATAAAAACTATGAACTAAGATTAACTTAATAAATAAACTTATAGAGATTATATAAAATATGCATATACAAGGCTTAAATTAATTATAAAAAAAATTACTATGGCAACTCCTAAAACAGGAGCCACTCAGCATACCTAATGTTGCGAACAGAGTTGCGTTGCAACGCTCATTTTCAGTGACACCTGGCGCCACCGCTTCTGGAGGAACTAAATTAAATAAAAATAATTATTCAAATATTTAGTATATAATTAAGGCCTTCCTAGAAAATTAATAAAATGTAGCATAAATATAGTGATTAATTAATCGTCGCGTTCGTTATGAAACGTCGAGAATCTCTTTTCGCTTCAATCGGCCGAACAGCCCGAAAGACAATGATATGCTGAACGATGGCCGTGAAAGCCCTACACAATTTAACATTTAATTTATAAAGATGAGAAGGAGTTTTGCAAAAATAAATGTTGACGCCAAAATAACTATTCCACGCGGACGAAGTCGCTGGCACAGCTAGTGTTTTTTATATCTCAAGAAACGTACATTGATGTCACAATAATAATAACAGAAATAACTCTATTTGACTATAAGTAATCATTTTTTATACCACAAGCGACTTATACAGTATAAGTAGGAAATACGTGCGTCGGCGCATGTATTTAGTAAGAAATGATTTAGTCCATGACTTGATTCACGTCGCGTTTGACCTAATAAAAAGTGCGTCGGTTCCCTCGAGAGTTTGGGTCCTACTACCAATACTGAATGACTGGTAAGCTTATAGTGCTAAAAGTGATATCTCGTTTTTACTTCGTTAGTATGGGGCAAATATATTTTTGAAACCTTTTCACTATTTAAATAAAACACTAACGGTTTAAGACGCGACGTATTAGTTAAACTTATTTGAAAATGATTTTTAACTTCGGCTAACGGCTGCCTCAAAGCAACGTCGTCCGAAACGAAACGTCGGACCGAAGTTGAAAATTATTTTCAAATAAGTTTAACTAACACATCGCGTTTTAAACCGTTAAAGTGTTTTATTTAAATGTGTACTACTCGCGTAAACTATAGACAGTACCTTATCACTAGTTGATTGTTTTCATAGCATCGCATAGTAATCTATCGCTGAAAATTGACGTGTAGTGGGTTCCAATATATATTTTTTTTGAAGCATGTTGAAATTTATTTGGTTGGTAGATATCGAAACTTCGTCCGGGTCAACCACCATAGATAAAAAAGCCGTGAAGTTTAATTGTAATTCGGTATAACACTGTTGACAATCTTGACAGCTGTCAACCTTTGTCATAAACAAATGCTGAACATCGGATTAAATTAATAAGGTACAAAAATATTACATATCATTTAGTTCATATTTTTAATAACGTCATCAACATTAAAATACCTGCTGAAGTTTGCAAAGTTCAAGGAAAGTAATTTAAAACGACCCAACTCAGTTGTCTGGTCCTTAAAGATATGAAGCTAGCACCAAAATGCAAACTAATTTATTTTGAAGCAAATTTAGGCTTTGGGCTTGAGATATCCTGCTTCTGATGTACAGGTATAAAGTGTTTAATCTTTTAATACAACTTATTAAAAATGAATGAAAAGTCAATTAAATTCTGATTCAAAATCGAAAAACCTTTGTCTAAGAGGTATTTTATTATACTTCTGGAGAATTAATCTGTTCCATAATTAGTAACAGACAATCCAATTGGTAAAAATGTTCTTTCTTTATCTTACTTATATTATAGTATAAAGCTAAAAAGCTTTTTTGACGTACTAATCTCAGGAACTAGTGCTTCGAAATGATAATAAATCCTTTTTTTATGTAGCTGGACTATTTATGGATGGGTTTTGGGTATAAAACATCAGACTGCGACTAATAGAAGCATTGAACAGTAGGAAATGTGAAAAAACGTGGAATATGATTAAAGTTTGAGGGATTCTGTTGCGTGCGTTAGGAAAGCGATTCAAAATACCAAAAATATGAAATAAAATTTAGTCGAAATACTTCATATGCCGACTTCGAGGCTAAATGCTTAAGAGGTTTCGAGTTTGAATCCCTGCAAAAGAAATCAGTTTCAGTAGATTCTAGAACAACAAGATAAAAATCAATTTGTGAAACAGACACAAAATTGTATCTGCCCCTTGCTCAACTTGAAACGCGATAATGCAAAATTTATTCGCATAGCAAAATCGGGGTAGCGTTAGCAAATAAAATTTCGTAGACAGCATATTTGTATTCTGATCCTAGAGAGTGGCAGAGTATTATAATATTTAAGGATCGGAGGTTCAGACAAGTGTTTCTCTTATGCCGTTTTCAGTGCCTGGCTCGGGTTCACGAGATTTATACAGTTTTACAATCTTCTTGGCGTACCGTTGGGAAATTAAAGATTCGATTATATTTTCTCGTGTTAACTCTTTGTTAGATATATATATATTTTTCTTATATAAAGATATAATATATTTTTACTAGTCGTTTTATATACAGTAATGTGTTTCTGTGTATTGATGTATTTGTAAAAGTAATATTTCTACAATTAATAAATAATTTTATTAGGGAGAACGGCCTCAAATTATCAAACACCCTATGATCCCAATAATTTTCTAACAAGTTTAACTAAAATATATCGCGTTTTAAACTGTTAAAGTGTTTTATTTAAATAATCGTTCTGTAATATTTATATCTATAAAAAAGCATGTATGGTGTATGGAAACAAAATAAATATGGCTTATTATTACGCGAATAAAAAACATTATATAAATATGTTTTACTCGTGTACATACATTTCCCGTTTTAGATCGTTAGAAGTGTTTTATATAAATGTCTTAGTATTCGAGTTAGTTTAACAGCAGTTTTCATTGTAATTGCTTAAATCAAATAAAATGAAGGAATTACTTATTAGTGACTAGGCCAAGATGAAGTGTTAGTGTTGTGATGATTTGCATTGTTGCGAGCAGAAATTTGTACCTCCGCAAATGTATCTATATTTTAGTATGTGCTTCTTGGGAGTAAGAAAAAGCTGTAAGTAAAATGTATGTGTCATGTACTAAGCTGCTTTTGACTCTCAAAGTAAAAGTCTGTGTACCCTCTTAGACGATTCGAGTTCAGGCAGTAAATTAAGGGTCACTATCATCTAGTGCAGTTTAATTTCTTTACAAGTGATCATCATTTTGTAGGTATATTTTTTAAAATGTATCATTATTTAGGGTTTCATTATAATTAAAAAGAGAAGACTTCTTAATCATGACAACACAAAACTCCTTTATCATTTCGTCGTATACCAACTACGACGGAACAGATGGCGCTAGCGTAGCAATTTTTACTTCGACATCAAAAACGCTCTCCAACTTTGATCTCCCCCCAAGACTGCAAAGTCAGAAACCTCGGGCCGCAGTTGAAATAATTTTAAACGGTTAAAGTGTGTTATTTAAATATGTACGATACGCGTGAACTACAGACAGATTCGAAGTTATTTCGGTCTATACGATTATGTTATTATCCATATTATTACTTGAATACATGAAAACGTATTTTGTAAGTTTTATAATACCAAAGACTTTATTTCATGACTTACCGAACAACCAGCATGAATCATTTTGTAAAATATTTTTTAAATAATTAATTATTTGCTT